TATGGAAACGTCCGACTTGGCATGCATCAACCTTGGTGTCCAGGCAAAGAACACCCATTCATCGGACTTGAACGTGACGTTCCACAGACCTTGCCTAATAGGAAAGATCCCTTGAACAAGTGATTTGAAGGGCCGAAGTTGTGCAACGTTCGTGAAGAGGTCGTTGAACGTGGACACCGTAGCAATGTCCTTTGATGTTGTTACGCCTACTGACTCTCCACGACAAATCTTCATTCCTGTAACGCTTCTTCGGCGACGCAGCCACAGCCGGAAAGAGTGGCGTCGGCGTCACAAAAGAAGCTCCGAAATCGCGCGTGTTAGATGTTGTTCCAGCAAGCATCCGCCTGCCAGAGACACTCTGGTTTGCACCAGCGCCGAGAGGCAAGTGTGTCCTGGCAGACATAGCAAAAAACTTGGAGAAGCGAAGTTATAGAGAATGACTACCAAAAGAAGCTATAGAACCTATTTTACTATGTTATTATTATAGTGGCTAACTGTAGAAAAAAAGCTAAAGGGACTATATTATGCTAGTTATCAAAGTAGCAAGATATAGGACTAAAACTGAGAACTCTTAAGTTAACAAAAGAAAACAAAGCGGTAACGTTTATATTTAACAAACTATTACGGAAACGCCTGGGGTGGCTTTCAAGAAAATGAGTGGTGGGTCGACGATATGAAGGCTGAGGGAATGATAGGCAGTGGCTGGAGGGTTGGCAGGCTGAAGGGTTGGGTTGAGGATGGGAAGGCTGAAAGTCGCAGATATGAAAATTGAGGTAGGATGGGCGGTAAGTAAAGGATAGAAAAGCAGAGGGAGGTAAATAGGACAACGTGGGTCAAGTGGAGGATGCTGAAATAATGAACAGTTATATTTGATCACTTTGTGATTTTGCATTTGACGATGTCAGAGACTTCAAACAGACCTAAAAACAATGTTAGAACTTCCATTCAGCCTCATGTATGTGATCCTGTGCGATTGTCAAAACATGGAACTCTTTTTTTTAAATAGATATAAGATTGCTACCAAAGACAAACACCAATAAATTCCTAAATGCGATGTCCAAAACTGAAAATACTGTACAAGACGTTAAACTCCGAATTCAGGCCCTAACCTCGACAAACTCGGACTGACCGAGAAACTGAACTTGGTGATGTGGCTCAACGGGCTAAGCGTTAGGAATACGCTCGCCACCGCACCTCTAATTACTCTGCGTGGGTTCGCAGGTTCGAATCCCATGCAGGGATGGTTATGTGCGAGAGGATTGCTGGACTCCTCGCCGTCGTTGGGTGGGTCACGTAACCGCTGGTCGGTTACGGCTTCCTCCACCACTAAGTCCATGCTTCCGAAAACAAACAATATAACTAATCCCATACCCGACTTGGAATGGTAACCGGACGAGAGGCCGTGGTTCGCCATATGGATAAGCCGTCTTATCGGCTTTACTCGCCCCTGGGATAAATATGTAAATCATATCCTTATGTCAAGCCCTCCTGCCCACCTTCGCAAGATGGCAGTCTTACTATGCCCTTAATAAGAGTGACTCTTGAGAAATGATCGCAACAATAAACAAATAGCAGAGAGTTCCTCATTTACGACAAATGGTTGCACAATGTGAGAATTTATTTTAGAAACGGAAGTTTTTTGAGATTACCATATTGGTATTCCTGGGTATTATTATCGAGTTGTCAGCGTTTTGTTACCTGGAATCGCAAGTAATGCAACTTAGGGGCGACTTGGTAGAACTCAAGCTCACGTTACTAACAATGTCAATCAGGCTGAACTAATACTAAAGCGTGTGAATTTAGAGTTTTTAAAATCCAGTTATTGCTCGTTCAGAGCCATGTTGCTAAAACACTGGTTTAAATACAGCCATTCTCATTTTAGCTACTTATAGTATATCTAGCCACAATGCGACTACTTTAGTTTCTTGTCGAGGTCGGGTTAAATAGGAACTGTCTTACTAGAATATGGAACCCAAAATTTGCAGATTAGCTTGTCTAACAAATAAATTTATTGGCATTGTAGCGTCCAAAATCAGTCCTGTCTTTTTTGTGAATATTTAGGCTCGTCATCGGCGAAAAGTTGAAAATACTTTTTTCACCATATCGTCATGACAGCAATTATATCTATTTCTGTTGATAATAAAGCCGGCATCCAAATTGAAGGCCATTCAGTGACAATTTAGAACGCGGATTGGTCACTGACTTGCGTCCTCATGTTTGGCTCTTAGTTTTAAATTTTAATTTCCACTTCTAGCTAGCAAAACGCGAGATTCTGCGTGACTCCTCATGTGTCGTGATATATTGCGTGAAATTATTGATTATTGAGGGATTTTTGTGGTTTTATTTCAATTTAAAAAAAAATTATGGAATTATGGAAGGGAATATTTGCATATGCTAATCACAGAGGAGGGATTTACATAATTATCCCGGGGAGAGGAAAACCGATAGAACGGTTTATAAGTATAAGTTTATTTCGACTCCCTGATCAGCATAACAATAAAATGATTGGTGAAAATAAATAAATAAAAACTGATTATGAAATCAGGAGAGCAAACAAAACCTTAGATAAGATTTAAAACGTACAGAATGTAAATAAGATGAAAGAAAAGATTTGCCAAGAGGAAGTGGTACGTGTTCACTCACCTAGAAAAATTTCACACACGCACCCACAGACACAACTATGGTGGCCCATCGTTGTCACGCGTAAAATTGAAAAAAAAATAAATGAAAAAATAAAAAAAACTTAAAATAAAAAAATAGTTGTGAAAAAATATAAAAAAAATAAAAAAAAATGAAAAAAAAATATAAATAAAATGCAAAAAAAAATTAAAAATAAAAACGAAAATAAAATAAAAACGAAATAAAAAAAAACCAAAAACAAAATTGAAAAAAAAAAAAAACGTGAATAGAAAAAAAATAAAAAGGTTGACAACGCGTAGGATTATGTATGACAACGTTGGTCCCAAGCAGAATCAAATTTTCATTATCAACCCTTTTTTTATGTTTTTTCACAACTAATTTTTTATTTTACTTTTATTTTAAGTTTTTTCTTTTCTTTTTTATTTTTTTTTTCAATTATACGCGTGACAACGATGGGCCACCATACACAACCATACAGAAATTTCAAAGTAAGAAGAACATGATAAATTACATACAGGTAGTTAAAAAAATAAATAAATAAAAATTATTTGCCACACCATATTAATAAATTTCTAATGTTTGCAACTGCCGAATCGATCGATTTTATAAATGGGAGTGAACAGTAGAGATAAACTATTACGAAAAATATTTTGTCAAGCTGATTATAGTTGGAGTCAATTGCTAAAAATGCCCAACCAAAGTTGCCAGAATTGGGTGCATGAGGAGGTGGGCTAGACTACTTTATTCCCCAAACTAGAGATTATTATTGTCAAATTATAGTCCAGATTGTAATAGTATTTAAAGGTACAAGTAACAGTATAAGTAATTATAATTAATTAAGGTAGGACGATGGGGAATAGGTATATGTTGGTTACCAAGAATATAAGAAGTTTGTTTTTTATTCGTAGTTATTGACTTCTGCAAGGATAAAGGAATTAGGAATATTTCAGAGGATCATTTCTTCATTTAATTAATGGGATACAAATGATGTCAATTCCAAATTATCATAAATGAGCAATCACCCTGCAAATTTTGTTGATGTAGACACCATTTATATTTGATAAGCTAGCCATTGAATTGATCATCACAAAACGACCTGAAAACAGAAAATAAATCTGCGAGTAGAATATTCATGGGTTACATATTAGGAAACTATACTACCCTACATTTTTGTTGAGAAGAAATTGTTATTTTGAGTAAATATTGATCATCAGTTATTTATCTTTGAAACGCTAGTTGAAAGACATGAGTTGAATTTTGGTTGGGACACAGGGTAAATTATTCGCAAACCATGCAAGAACTCTCAAACCACATCAACCATTAGTATGTTGGCCTTCTCGTTAACTTCACAGCATAACCTTAACCTAGGATACAATTTTGTACACAATTACACAAGACAAATCATAGAATACCACAGCAAATTAAAACGGAGGGGAGAATTCAATATATCTCAACTGGTCGCCTAATGACAATAATAGGTACAGGATCTCATAAGAGGTATTACACCACCCAAATAGAAACAAACACCATGCATGTGTAATGTCAAATATTCAGCAATAAAAATGGCGAACCACGGCCTCTCGCCAGGTTACTCGTCCATGTCGAGTATTGGATTAGTTCGCCTGTTATTTGTTTCAGATGCATGGACTTTTAAATTAGAACAGTTCGGCGGTGTGGCGCATAGTGCTAAGCGTTAGGAATACCCTTGAGGCAGCACCTCTGATTGGGTTCGCAGGTTCGAAACCCTTCGGGAATAATTATGTGCAAGAATATTGGTAAGACTGTCCTCCGTCATAGGGTGGTTCACGAAACCGCTGTTCGGTTACGGCTTCCTCCGCCATCATGTCCATGCTTCTGAAAACGAAACAACAACAAGCTAACCGATCCCATATCTGACGTGGACTGGTAACCGGGCGAGAGATTGTGGTTCCCCATATGATTGAGCCGTTCCATCAACTTTCCTCTCCCCCGGCATAAACATGTAATTCCCAATCCTAGTTGCGAGACGAGATTTTAAATCAAAACCGGATATTGACTCCTACCTCGCACGTTCGAAAAGGCAAGTAATAACAGAATGTGATCATGCGTGTTCACTGTTCATCACAAAATATTGTGTATGGATTTTTAGCCAAAACGAAAATGACGTGTACGCCAACTCAAGCGTGATATTTAGTAAATTGCTGAATATTAATTAAGCAGTTGGATTCGGTACAAACAAACAAATTATAATCTTACAAGAAACTAATTTCATATTTGAATATGAAAAATTATGAAATATTTTTTGAAAACAAAAATAAACAATGTTTTGTTCTTGATATCATAACAAAGGTAGTCCGCTTTTTTCAAGAATGAAATTTACGTGCTGCGCGCCTGCGATCAGTCAAAGTTGTTGTTTATCGTCTGCGATTTTGCAGTGACTGAATGAGGGAATTATAAATCAATTTTATCTTAATATTGTACAAAACTGCAAGGAAGGTAAAATAAGCGGAGTAAGCAATCAACTGCCGTATTTACTTATTGTCAAGGTGGTGGGCTTGGCCCCATCATGGTTTCCAAAGAAGCCAAAAATGGAGGAAAATATATTGTGCTAAGCGAAGTTAACATCGTTGTCACATCATTGAGAAGAAATATAAGGTAGACTAGTCTATATTAATAATATTTAAAGATATTGAAACCTTTTTTCGTACTGGTTTCCCAACGTCAAACCGCCGTCTGGCAAAAAAGTGCTTTACTCCCTGACTACTGTACTCAGTTTACAAGTTTCCAAAATGACAATCTAGCATAGGCCTGCAGCTGTACAGTCAGATACTGTAGTTTTTCTTGACTTTTGACTATTGTCATAAATTTTTCACTTTCCATTCTACACTTATTCTTTGTATTAGATTGAATTGGTCATTATTACAGTATTAACTAAAGTCTGAAAGTGTTCTAAAAGTACAACAGCCTGAAATTTTATTTCATATATTTTGTTTGTATATTTCTCGCCCTAGTCTTGTTCAACTAGGTTTGTGTTTATTCTAATTTGTGTGTGTGTGTGCTGGTCAGCGGGCATGTGGTATTTGATATTCCTTGTAACAATTGAACAAATAAAATGAAAACAACAAATTATCTAAGCCAATAGACCTATTCATTTTCAACTTCAGTTGAAGTTTTTTAGCTCTCTAAATTCTGAGATAATTTTATCATAGAATACATATCATTATTTGTGTGCCACAAAAGTCAGCTTTATTGATCCAGCTTTATAACTAACATAGACTGCTTTAACAACAAATCTTTCAAATTTTCAGATGGGCTTCCCACGGAAACCAGACTGACAGAGATGATCCATTGATTGCAAGTTTCAATAATTTGAAAAATGCTTTGAACACAGTTAATGGTAAGAATTGGTTTTCAATTTGATTTGGCTTCGTCATGTTAACTTCCACTGGATATCATTCAAGTGTGGCTCGTCGGAATAAGGATTTTTAAATCGAATACAGAATACCGAATCCTATTCTATTTTCATACTTATTCGAATAGTGGGTATTTCCACATTGCTGGATTAAGATGTTAAAAAAATGCAAATGTATTACTTACTATAAATGTATTACATATTTGGAAATTTCCTGAATTTCCTGGATTTCATTTGATACTAAACAGGCAGTTCCCAGGACAATAAAATTTAGGAATATTACACTATTTTTGCCTTCAATTGTTCCAAATGTATGTAATTCCTGAGAGCAAGGCACGACATCTACCCAGACTTGGCCCTACTCAAATTCAATACGTCACTATCTTCGCCAGATGCAGCAACTTATTTCAAAATTCATCGGCGACTAAAATACTACAGACTTTCGATCAAACGTGCGTCTATCTTAAACGATAGAAATGTTATCATTAATCATTATCTACCCAGACTTAGCCCTACTCAAATTCAATACGTCACTATCTTCGCTAGATGCGGCAACTTTTTTCAAAATTTATTGGCGACTAAAATACTACAGACACTCGATCAAACGTGCGTCTATCTTGAACGATAGAAACGGACCGAAAAATATGTAATCTTTTGAGAGTGAAATTTAAATGTGACAGTTGTTCGCGTTTTGCGATATAACTTTGTATTTCGGAAAATGGTATAATAAAATTATTCGTAAATAATATTTGATCTAAATTAATAGCGAGTAATGTTATAACATTTAACGCCTGGCTTTTGGTTTACGTGCATCATTTTTTGGGAAAACTCATAGGTCACGAAAAATCATTTAATTTAAAATGAGGCAAGGCACGTCTGTAAACAATTTAAGATTGTTGCATTCAGATTATCGGAATATCACCAGTAAGTCGGCACAAATAGCGCTAGCTAGATAGCAAAGAAGGAAAACGCAAAAATGATGCAATAACGAGTCCTCGCCGCGAGGTTATATTGCCGACTTCTTGTCCTGAATATGCCGATTGAAATTACAGTGTTTGATGTTTACCGATTTAGGGTTCTTTGCGAGCACACGCAAGTTTAAATAAACGAGAGAGATTTCCACGCGAGAAAAACGCTCGTCTATAATTGACAAATTAGAAACCCGAAATGCAAAAATTGACGCATGGCGCCGGAAACCGAATCCTGTTATCGGATCCCGTTGGATTCGAATACCTTGGGATTCGAATCTTCTGGATTTGGTATTCTATATTGCCCATCCCTATTCATGCATCACTGGTATTAAAAATATTCAATCTAATCATTCCAGAACTTAATGAATTGGAACCGACTACATTCCTTAGTCCATTTCTTGAAGTGATCCGTTCAGAAGACACATCAGGACCAATAACTGGACTCGCTCTTTCTACAGTCAATAAATTTTTGACTTATAATTTGATTGGTGAGTGAATATTTTTTAACAAGTCTAGAAGATAGATTATAGGATTAGGATTTGCATATTTTTCCTGAGGATAGGAAAGCCTATAAGACGCCTTAATCGTATTGCGAACCACGGCCTCTTGTCCGGTTACCAGTCCAAGTCTGGTATGGGATCAGTTAGCCAGTTATTTGTTTTCGGAAGCATGGACTTGTTGGTGGAGGAAGTCGTAATCCACCAGCGGCTACGTGAACCACCCTACGGCAGCGAGGAGTCCAGCAATCCTCCCTCACATAACTATCCTATTTTATAGCGTAACTACCGGTATATATTTTTGTTGGACACAAGGTGGACCTATGGATGGTTTTGCAAAGTTGTTGTGAAAAACAACTTTCATTTGCAAGTAATGGAGTAGGCTTATCACTATAAAAATTTCAGTATGAACTAAGTCCCTAGAAGGCTATCAACAACTACATGTTTTCAATTTTTTTTTTATTGCTATAGGGGTTATTATTTTAAACTAAACGTTTGGCATTACACTAGGCTAGTCCACCGTATTTTTTACAAACTCATCGCTTAGCTAAGGCGTAAATTACTCTGCCGGTGGGTGTTGATATTGGTTTGTATCATTTGAACGATTATATAACATATTTCTGTACAGGTCACATAAATGCTACTACATCTAACCTCCATGCCCATAAAATTAAGAATTGCTCTTTTGCTAATTGTCATGTACAATACCCTGTTAAAAAACTTGAAAATAACAGTACTTTTTTGAATTTTTTGTCGCTGAATAATATGTTTTTACAATCCAGGCTCATCTAGCACAGTCGCTACAGCAGTCTCAAACATGGCCGATGCTGTCACCCATGCCAGATTTGTTGGAACGGATCCTGCCAGTGATGAAGTTGTTTTAATGAAAATTTTACAGGTATATCGTCACATTTGAACCTAATTAGAATAGGTTATATTTTAACAATGTGAGAAAATTATATTTCTGTAACAATCTTAAGGATTGCTCCAAAATAGATATAAAAAAAAATTTTAACTTTTATTTTAACAACAGGTTCTCCGATCCCTGCTTTTATCCTCAGTTGGATCATATCTCACCAACGAAGCTGTCTGTGAAATAATGCAGTCGTGCTTTAGAATATGTTTTGAAATGAGATTGAGCGGTGAGTAATCAGAGCCTTACATTGAATGGATAGTTACTAACGCACAATCCTACACTATGATTCTTTACATCAGTGGCTCTCAAACTTTTAAAACCACGCCCCCTTTTTAGAATTTGTTAAGTCTCGCGTCCCCTGATGTTCTTGCATATTCTCGCAAAAAAGATTTTGGCTCTATTTCGGTGATTGTGGGTCTTCCAGTACTGGCTTCAAAATTTTCAAATTTGGTTGATATTTGTTTTAACATAAGTTTGTGTCGAAGATGATTTTACTATGATTGGCCATGACCCTTGGTTTGAAAAGCTCCATTTTATCACTTTAGTTCTCACCTGTAAATATACCCAAAGATCAGTCTCCTTTGTTTTTGTTCCTGAGTGAGTGAGCCCTTGATAATTAATATATTTTTCCTATTAATCCTAAATTTTATTTACAGTAATTTTGCCAAAATCTTGATAGAAATTATATGCATTTGGGAATTGGGATATTTAAATTTGGTGCTGGTATAAATTAATTAATGGATTTTTACCTCCATAAGAATGAATATTCAATAATAAAAAGATAACAGAGATTATATTACAGTTTCAAATCCACATGGGTTTTGGATTATCTATTTTGTATGCAATTTAACTTTATTTTTATTTTGAGAATTTTATTTAATAATAAATAGTTAATCTCACAAGACGGAGGAGCAAAATAAAATTGAAATTAATGGGTTGAAATCAAATATACGGCATAACTGATTTAGAATGTTGGTCTCCTTTCATTGATTCATTAGTATAGTTACCGTATTTCCCGGCGAATAAGTCTACCCGGTAAATAGGACGAGGCCCGTTTTTAAGCCTGAAAAAATGGGTTTTTGCATATAACCTGCCAATAAGTCGGGGTAGTAAAACCGTGTCAACATCGGAATCTCAAATTACCATGCGAAGGCTTTTGAGCGGTAGCCGTGTTTGCGCATTGGTTAAAATAGCCTATAACGACGTTTTTTTATGTAGCATAATATTCAATCCATAATAACTACGGGAATTCAAACTGTCTTTAAATTTTAATCTAATTGTGTTCAACTCGCGATTGCGTCCATCATTAAAGAACATTATCTAATACATAATAAGGCGACACAAAAAAAAAAGGAAAATTACCATACTCGCCCAATAAGACAAGCCCCTCCAAATCAGGCCAAAAATTTGGGTCTAGAAAAGCGACTTATTCGCCGGGAAATACGGTATTTATAAATTATAATTTTTGTGGCAGTAAAGAGAGGCCACATATCACTCAAAGACAAACAAATTTTTTTTAATTTTCATTTAATAATCCTACATTTTTCCTTTATTTTAATGGATGTTTTCATATTCTTACCAACTGACTATCCAATGTCCTTGGTAATGAAACACTGTTCCAACTTAACAATTTAATTTTTCCAGAATTGTTGCGTAAGTCAGCCGAACACACACTCGTTGATATGGTGCAAACATTGTTTTGTCGAATTCCGGAATTCAAAGAAGATTTAAAAGGATCTGGATCAATGAAAAAGGTACAGATTTACTCAAAGGTGAAGATTTAGTCAAATATTGGTAAAAATTGTTAATCATACATATAGTTTTTGTTGCTATAATTCAACAAACTGTCGCTGGCTGGTTGACTCTTCGGGCTTGCTTTCCGTCCCATTGTCAACTGCTGTGTGTCTATGTCGGTGCATTTTTGTAATTTGTTTTACGACCCTACAAATCGTATCACAGCAAATAGTTGCTGAAGAGAATTATTGGAAATGATAACCATTATTGTTATGTTTTACTTTTATTAATAACGGTGAAAATTGTGGCAAAATACTGTCATATCAGAAACACACAAGCGATCATGTGTATGACAACCAATCACAGACTGTTATCGTCGTCGACTCGTCATAGCATACTAAGCGCTGCTTCGAGTGTGTACGTGCACGCTCCTATTGTGAAACATAGCACGTATAATCCACCCCTTTAGTGCGATCATGCGATCAGAGTAAGTTTGGCAGCTTTTTTTAAACTCTGCTTATATGCGAGGTCGAGGATATAATTATCTACATTTAATAAGCTCTAACCACTAGGCCGGTTGGTCCCAACCTTTCCGGAGTTATCATTCCAGGGATATCTATAGTGTGACTTTGATTGGTCGATTTCAAATCCTACTATGTTCAAACTATTCATGATCAACAAAGGAAAAACACCATGTGATACCACTGTACACCACTGTATTATGTCATTGCGCTTCTTTATCACTGACTTATACTTCCAGCTGAAGATGCGAGCGGGTGGAATGACGGAGACGGGTAACAGAGGCAAAAGATCGCGAAAATCTCCAAGAATGAAACGATCAGATCGGAAACAATCTTTACAGCCTCATTACCAAGAACAAAGTAATTCTGGAAATAGCACCCCAAGGTAGGCTGACTTATTAACTGCCTGTTAGAATGCTTGCCATGCTGTTTAGTATATGTGTGCAATAATATAGAATATATCGACATATTAAAAAACCTGAGACACCGGAACGTAGTATGTGTATCAGGTTAGGGTTAGGCCATAATTTCAGGTACAAATTATACGGGAGCCACTTGGCTACTCCTTGAACTCGTAATAGAACTAAATAAGGAAAAATAGAATAAAACTATGGCCTAACCCTAACCTGGTACACATACTATGTCCAGGTGTTTGCCATCTTGGTTCACATACTACGGAAGTACCCACAAATATACTGTTTATCTTCCATTATCGTGGACCAGTAGAAATCTTTTGGTCTGGGCTTCAAAGCTGTCCCTTTTTTGGTTTTGATTATATGTATTGCCTTATGTCTATTTCTAAGTTTGATCTAAGTTTAAACTAATACGAATAACTCATTTCTTAATAAAACCTTGTAATGTGGCATAAACTAATTTGGGTGTACTGCGGCAATATATACCATATATGTACTATTGATACAAAATATTTCAACATTATTGTTAGCAAGCATGTCTGAAAACAGGTAATGTACTATGTCGTAAGACATTCAGATATGATATTTTTTATTTTATACAGGGCAAGATATTTTAAATGTTGTAAATTTCATTGACAATTTTTTAAACGAGTTGATTAAAGATTATTTCTGAAATCAGGAATTTGTAATAGGCTATCAATATGCAACCGATAATAAATATCCGATTTCATTTGGACATAGCAGGTCCTATTGTAATGCTGATTTTATTTAATTTTTAGTTCAGAATCACACCGGCCTGTGTCAACTGTAAGCATAGACAGCGGTGTGGGAGCTTCTATTTCTACACTTAATATCGCCGATGACCAAAGTCTTAAAAAAAGTGTGAGTGCAGCAAGTATTCCAGACACAGTGGATTCAGCAGGTACTATTCAGTTGTATAGGATTGTGGCTGTGAAATTATGAAACAAGTTATATCGTAATGTAAAAATCAATATCTTAAAATGTAGTGAATGTGAACAACATTTTAGTGCCAGTTAGTTCTGATACCACTTGGAGCCGGTTATCTTTATGAAAATATTTACAAATTTGATATGTTATAATGCTATTGTTAATAGGGCTAAATTTGGTACTCCGGAAGTATGCGCACCAAGATGTCGCATAACCTGAACCCTAACCTGGTACACAACCTGAGTTCAGGTTGTGCGCCATCTTGGTGCGCATACTTCAGGAGGTCCCTAAATTTGGTAGATCAGTACTAGATTTATAAGACTTTCCAGTGGTATGGAATGAAAACCACGACCCAGCAATGTCCCATTTCACATGAAGTTATAAAAATTAAAATCGAAACTTTTGTCTGGATGGAGTAGGCCTATGGTTGGTATGTTTTACTTTGCAATTTCAGAAGTAAGTCATGAAAATACATAAATTGCTGTAACAGGGATCTTCACCCTTTTCCCCTCTTTACTCTTTTCCCCCGCTTGAAGTGGTATAACGATTGCTGGTTTATATATTTTTTGTTCTTTTTGGTTTTCCCTCTTCATCTCATAATTTATTCAGATCATGATTTATTTGAATGAGATTTTTCACAAATCGATTCTAAGAAAGGTTTTGCTCATTTCTACCAAAATATTACTCTGAGTAAAGTTATGAGTGTGGGACAGGGGGATAGCGAGGGGGTTGGGAGTTAGACCCCATTTTGAAATGTAAAAAAGTCCGCTAGCTGTTAGGGTGTAACTTGGCAATTAGAAATTTCATCTCTTTCTCCTTTGAAAAGTTCAGGCTACGCCCCCTACCAATACTAAGATATGTTTTCTTAGATAAGTTTAACATGTAAGCATAAAGAATAAAGGCAAATAGGCAATGTCAATAAAAAAACAAAATGTCATAACATTTACACTTCTAATAAGAGGTGTGCAGCTGCTGCCCTGAACACATCTTTTTCAAATATTCAATTATGAATTATGTTTAACACAATTCTGGTAATTTTCAGGGCATATCGCGCCTTCTTTAGGAACCGCTGACCGAACTAATTTGTTCAACCCTAACTGAGCTGGTCACTGTGTTCAGTTTGAACCTGAGATTCCTCGATAATTTCTTCAGTGACCTGTTATAATCCTGTACAAACCAGTTTAAACTGGTTCTGTCCCTGGGGCATAATGATCAATTATGCATTCTATCTCCTGTATTCACATTGTAGACTGTGTATTGATTATAACAGGGAAACCATTTTTATACTGATAGTAGATATTTCACAAAGACTGTCGTTTATTGTTTAACGTATGACGGTTGTCCCTATCAGATTATTTTTATTTCTTCAAATATTCCATCCACAAAATTTATAATAATGCAATGGTAATTACCTCTATTTGCAACGAAAACATAAAAATGCTTTTATTTTAGCGTACATCAAGACTTCTTGATCACTTTGCATTTGTCTATTAGTTTCTAGATTTTCAATAATCAATTTTATCTTTCTTCATTTAGAAGCTGTGAAAACTCCAGAACCTAGCCAATCCGTAGAATCTCAGGAAGATAAACAACAAGGACAAGAAAGACCGTCGACATCAACTCCTGAAGAGAATAAGTCAAGCACTGAAGAAGGAAAAGATTCTGATCAGGTATTTTTATTGATAAATCTGTTTTTGAGCTAACTGGACCTATGGCACATTTCAGACAAATTGTTGTTGGAATTTTTAACTCAGTGTTTCTCAGCTGTTTTCATTGTTAGATTCAATTTTCAAACCTTGTAAATAGCCACATTAAAAACAACGCTAATTCAAATAGCAACAGAACAAAACTCAAGTATGTATGTATATTAAAATATCATCATCAACAAACTCGGGGTAAAAACTGATTAAATGCTAAACTTGACAATGGCTTTTACTTTTACCATATATCCTCGCATTATAAGCTTACCCTAGAAAAACAGCCATAAAACTTTGAATATGTAAAAATTTGCATAACCTACAAGCATAATGCCATATTGTTTGAGTGCGATCAGAGTTATGTGTGTATGAGCGCAATCCTTACTTTGGTAACTTGTTTTGAATTTCAAACTTGGTTTATATGCAATCGTGATGAATGCATTCTTCAACGATATATATAACAATATCTAGTGTGATATTTCTTCATAATGATATCCATTTCAATTTGGGAGTAGTTGGAGCAGCGTTTGAGAATCACTACTATCCAATAAATCTTGTAAAATACCAACAGGATCATGGCCAGTCACTCGTAACTGATACCATGACACAACGCTACTCATGCTCAGCCATCTGTGAATACAATACAGTTACTAAGAATAAAAGGGATTGAAAATTGTTTTTATTATTCCATATACTAATTGCTTTTCCAATAAATTTAGGTTGAAAGTTCCTCCTAGAGACATATTGCGCATGTATTTGAGTGGTAAAGCAGTTCATGAGGTCGATGGATAAAGGAATTGAGCGCACCATGTATAGTCTCTCTAATAAACCTATATACCATACTTCATTTCAATAAATTTTAACCATAAAAATTTTGCCCATTTTTTTTCCATGCTATGAGCCACTTGGGCTAGTTATATTTTCACCAACCAGCAAAATGAAATTCTGATTAATATTACGCCCCAAAATGAAAAAATTCCTTCTTGATTAGCGTATTTCTTGGAATGTTGTTTTTTCGTTGTTTTTGGTCAAGTATTTTTTATAAATTTTTTCTTGATTAGACCATCCAACCACAAGATGTCACACCTGAGTCACCAATAAGCGAACAAAACTATGATTTGTCGTCTCCACCCCGTGTTGATTCCGTAGATGCTCTCGATGAACTGGAAACTCAATCACAACTTTCCGACACAGGAAGAAACTCAGTGACTGAGACTGAGTTTGTTGCGAATCCGAGAGGAGTAAGTTCATTTATAATATGTTTGCTCAAATCAGGGCCTTGGACAGTGGTTCTTAAACTTTTTAAACTGTGCCCCCATTTTAGAATATATCAATTCCTGCACCCCAGCTCAAAAATAACTAGCTACAAATAACAGATAGTGAGGCGAAAATATGTTTTATTCAAAAAAACACGTTGAAAATATGTGGATGGAATCGCAATCTCTAAACAATAAAGAAATGTAAATATCCAAAATAAGGCGATCAAGATCAAATCTAACAAATATTTTCATTTTTTATCAGCTTTACGCCCCCTAAAAAATTGTTTACGTCCCCCTTGTGGGACGCACCCCACCATGTAAGGACCCCTGGTCTTGAGCTTACAACTAAAATAAAAATAGTACTGATAAAAGAGTTTTTCCAAGGCAAAGTCCTAAGCCCTCGACTAAAATTAAAAAAATAACAATAGAATATTTGGAAATTTGGTTATAGCCAGGTTCATGTCTTCAAATGAATACAGTACTGATTAAATGGATATAACTCAGCTCAAAGCAATGCGCAAAATCCTCTACTAAGATGAAAAGTGTGCTGATAATAAAAGTTGTGAGTTCTCTAAAGAAGGGTCTCAATCCCCCACATAAAATAAACACTCAAGAATTTGCTCAAAGTAGGGTCCTGATCACTTATTGAAATTTAAAAGAGTACAAATGAAAGAAGCTAAGCCCACAGAAAATTTGAAATAAACAAAAGTTATGGTTTTCTAGCAGCAGCAAGTTTCAACGACTTAAAATTCCAAAGTAATTGGTCCAGTAGTTAAGGAGAAAAGCGATTTTTCAAATCAAGACGAAGAAAAAAAATGCTAACATGATCATCAACAACAACATAATAACAAAGCGATCTATAGCCCAATTCGTGTCCGATTATCATAATAACAAGAGAGCAATGCTCAAATATATACCGGTAGTAATGATTTATTTTCTGCTGGAACAACACTTATACTTCTATGTTTTTGTGCCGGTGGAATCGTATGCATAGAATGCAAGAATGCTGTATCAGTAAAGATAATATCCTAAGTGATTCAATAGCTTTGCTGCACACTAGCATAGTAGAACTACATATGACCGAGGAAGTCTGACCTTGGTCGGACGAAAGGTTACAGAATATATATATGTGTGTTACTTAGTTCAACCACCAATGATGTATGCCTGAGGAAGTCGAAATGTTACCGAAATATATTTGTGGTAATTTGCAGCATGACTTTTGAATCACTTAGGTTAGGATACAAATAAAAGTGTCGCAAGTTTGTTCAGAGCAGTATAAGAGCCCTGTTTTATATTTTTAGGTCAGATTTACCACATCAGCACAGACAGGTGAAGAAGTTATTGTTGGACCACTCGTACCATACGGATTGCCGTGTGTCAGAGAATTGTTCAGATTCCTGATTTCATTGACAAACCCTCATGATAGGTAAGAAAATCAAGATTATTTTGATAATATATTTGAAATTCAGAGTTCAATTATGTATAAGGTTCTCTCTATGCACACTTTCCTCTTGGCCGTAGTCTCTGAACTTTTTGATTCTGCTCTCTGATACAGATGTTCAGATGGTGATGAAAATTTTATCCAACTATGGATTGAAACTATTCAACCAAGGGCTCTGCGTGTTATGCACAGAGAAGACTCATGGGTTTCGTACTAAACTATTGTTGTTGCTGCTGGGAAGAATAACCCAACAGCTTTCCACATAACTAATGAAGCAATTAATTTCATTGACTCAAAAATGAGGAAGTCACTATAAGACAGTATCATATATTTTATTTTTCGCATCACCTCACAGTCATGTGAAACCTGATATTCCACCCAAACTCTGCGCGAACATCGGAATAGAGAGGCTGAAATAATAAGTTCATCTACTCTTTCTTGCAGGCATAATTCTGATATCATGGTTCATATGGGATTGTCTCTTCTTATGGTTTCAATGGAAGTTTCCAGGAACGAAATGGAAAGATTTCCATCACTTCTGTCATTGGTGAAAGATGATATGTGCCGGTATCTGTTTCAGGTTGGTATCACAGAAGTATTTTTTTAAATGCTTTTCAAAGGTAAAGCTATATCTTTTCAAAAGATGTTATTTTCCTAATTTTTCTAGAGGAGGAGAAAAGCCGATAAGTCAGTTTGATCACATGGTAAACTATACCTTCTAGTCCAGTAATAATTCATGTTCGTAATAAGAATAGTTTGTTTCAGCTGCATGGATTGAAGTTGGCAGTAATCGAACAGAGATTTTGTGCGCCTGCTTATATATCTCATACTTTACCCGGCACAAATTGATCAGAGGTTTAAGGTGTTCAACATAGAAAAGTTTTTTTTATTCCTTTTTTTTTCAAATAAAATCCACCGTATGACTTTGAGTTATTGGCAAATTTACCAATGCTTTGAGATGAAGATTCATAAGAACAAAAAGACCCAGAAAACAATGAAAATTGATGTTTTATTTTTCAGCTTCTTGTATCGGATCGACTGAGTCTTGTGGCTTCATCACTGAGATTATCTCTCCTTGTATTTGAGTCTTTGAGACATCATTTGAAGTTCCAACTTGAGGTAAATGGCTCATGAGCTTTTAAATAAATACATTTTACATGAATATTGAAACCAATTCAAATCAAACTAGTAATTTAAAAATCTTTCACAGTTCAGTCATTAATTGGGTTCATATAGTTCTGATTCCTATTTAAAGTTCCAACTTGGGGTAAATGGCTCATGAGCCATCAAATATATATCGGTAGATTGCATACTACATGAGGATTTAAACCAAAAGAAATATCAATTTTCAAATATTGTGCTCATTTATCATCTATCTAGTTTGGGTGAATCCGATTCCTAATTCAAAAATAATTCGGAGTCCAGGAATATTTAAAACATATCGAATACTTGAATAAAATTAATAATATTCAATATTTTTAACTCTAAATAATTTCATTTTAAAAACTATCATTTTGACTAATAAAGTCATAAAGTGTAACCAAAAATGGTTTAAATTTATTCCTAGGACTCAAAAAATGTTGTTTATCTTTTACAAATTGAATTTACATTGACCCCGATGTGTTTATTGTTGAATGTGAATAACCTACTATTGTGTTGGTGAATTGTCGTCACTATATGTTGATCGAGAGCTATGACGTCATTGTCTAGCATGTTGCATTGCGGACATTCAACAGATTATTCACTTCTTACAATCTCTGAAAATTACTTTAACAACCACACCCTCATATTATTAACATTGGTGTTTTCTGTCTAGTCATTTCTGAAGAAACTCATGGAACTCATCACAAGTGAAAATCCAAAAATGGCTTACGAAGTAAAAGAACTCTCCATAGAGGCAATAGTGCAGCTTTATCATATTTCTGGATATGTAACTGAGCTTTATCTCAACTATGATTGCGATCTTTACTGCTCAAACTTGTTTGAAGATCTCAGTAAATTGCTGTCTAAGGTGAGAAAATATATGAAGTGGATGAAAAAAAATTCTCATTTTGTTTTATGGAGTTTTCCATGTCTTAACTCCCTAAAGGGCTTTATGCAACAAGCCGCAGATATATAAAGATCTTTATCAGTGGTCCCAACCCAGGCTCGTAACGATTTATTATGGCTTGCCGAACTCAATTTATCAGCCCCTTGAAGGCGCTCCCCTCTCCTGGTCCACATTGCTTCTAATTATGTGAGAACACATGGTTCCTCCCTAAAGTCAAAGGTTAATAGTCTCTTGTGACACTTAGTGGACTTGAAGCCATGGGGTACGTGTTCCAATAATGCACTTTTGTCTATCAACAACCATTTCACTAAAATTAACCCTGAACATGTTATCCCATATACATAGCTCTCGCAAGTTTGTGGTTGCTCTTAGTTATTCTATTAATACCCTTCGAATATGAAATTGAGCGAATATTTCCATTTTTTCCAGAATGCGTTTCCTGTTTCCGGTCTCTACACAACTCATCTTCTATCCCTTGATGCTCTACTAACTGTTGTTGAAAGCATAGAAGGGAGATCCAACATACAACTCACATCTGAGATCAATAAAGAAGAACAACTGTCACAGTCAAGTGATAATGAAGGTTTTTTAAATTAAATTTTTAACTTTTTTGAGAAAGGGGTAACAGAACTTGGACATTGATGTCTAAGTAGAAATTTGGGCGCTCCAGAAGTGTGTGTACCAATATGGCGGTAACTATTTTTGTTTGCCTATGTTACATCAATTTGTGTAAAGGGACTGAAACCTATGGGTAAGGAGTATATTCACTTGGTTAACACAGACAGTCCTCGAACTCGTAATAGAACTAAAATAAGGAAAATCGGAATGAAATTATGGCCCAACCTTAACACACACTACGGGATTACCGAGATCTGAGGGTTCAAATTTCAGCAGTAAAAATCAGGCTTAAAATTTTAGGTTGTAATATTTGGATTGGTATTATTACTGATTTCCGTAAATGCTGCCTGCTTTTTTGCATTGCTATTGTTTACACTTGATGGTTTTTGACACTGGCTTGTTCTATTTATGTATTTGAGTGTTTTAACCCAAAAGGGAGGAACTAAAACAGCTGTTTGAGAAAATTGGGGAAATTAATGAAATATTTATAATAAATTGGGTAGAGGCCATTCCATTTCAAAACCACAATAATTCCCCATGGTTGCTGTTATTAGACAGAAATCTAACATTTTTTGACGAAAATTTATTTTAGAAAATATTGAAGACATAACTGATCATCAGACAGAAACTGTTGAGGGGGCGGAGCAAACTAAACAACAGCCAATCATACCACCACGATTCTCAAGTGCAATGCCTAACATAGAAGAATTGATAAAGATTAGACATAAGAAAAAGGTAAGTTGGTCCAAAACGATTAACCGTTAGCAGTCAGGAATTTTATACTTATATGAAGAGACTCATAAAACGATACTGCGTATAATTCATATTTTATTTACGTATATAAATAAGAGCATCACTCGGTATATCTGGTACCCCACCATACTATCAGATATTATTTATGGTATCGAAGTAAACAGTATCAACACAATTTTCATGCTAATTGCTTTGTTTACTCTAAAATTTCAATTTTGTGGTGGGAACTAAATTGACGAAACCATTGTGCCTTAATACTGCAGATATATGATTTCATTTACCCTAGCTTGGTGCGCTAGGAATACACTTGTCGTCACACCTCCGATTACTGTTCGTGGGTTCACAGGTTTGAATTCCATGAGCCCTCAACCGGGGGACACAGAGCAGTTGGAGGGGGGGGGGGCACAATGTTAGGCACAAATCGGATTTTACTATTCCTTTTACAAGAAATCTTCCCAGTTTCATTGCTTGACAAGGTTATTTCACAGGATGTTTTCGCCTCACTGAGCATGAGTTGTTTAATTAACCTAATGTGATTGGGAATCAACCACTAAAAATAACACTATAAATACTACTCTAATGACGAACAATGGGGACATAGTGCTAATTGCCTACAGAAGGGGGCCACAAGCTAGATAATTGCTAGACTCCTCGCCACTTGGTAGTTCATGTGATGCTTCCTCCACCATCAAGTACATGCAAACAAATAACTGGTTAACTAATCCCATACCTGACCTGGACTCGAAACAGACGAAGTCTAAGGTATGACCAATGACTAAGCCATTTTATAGACTTTCCTCTCCCCTGGATTACATATGAAATCTTATCTCAATTCAATTTCATTATACCCAATTAATGTTATATGTTCTGTTTTAGCTTGTTCAATTAGGCACTGAATATTTCAATCAAAAACCTAAGAAGGGAGTTTCATTTCTTCAAGAACAAGGATTGCTCGCAATGCCGATGGATACAAGGGAAGTTGTTTTATGGCTGAGAGAGAATCCTGGACTCGATAAGAAAATGATCGGTGAATTTATAAGTGACCGTAGAAATCCTGAGATTCTGGAGAGTTTTGTGAGGTAAATTCTGTAAATTTAGTGATTCAAAGGTGGCTCATCACACTGACTTAATTTTGCAAAATTTCATCCTACCAATGTCAAACTGAAGAGAAGCAGTTTTTATATATGTCTTGTTTCTAAGATTTTTGCTTCAGACGAGGTTAAAATGATTAGCCACTGTTAGGTGAGGGGTTACTTTCCGGAGGGGCAGACTTTCTGGTTTGGCATTGCCAACTTAATTTATCACACTCTGGATGACCTGGTGGGCATGACCTGTAATGCCATCATAGTTAAAATGTGACGTTTTAACCACTGGGCATCCATGAAAATGCATTATGAAAGGCTATATTTTCTATTTAATTTTTTTAATATTATTTCTCCTTGCAGAACATTTAAGTTTGAAGGACTTCGAGTTGACGAAAGTTTAAGATTATATTTGGAAGCTTTCCGATTACCTGGTGAAGCTCCGGTGATTCAGAGATTGATCGAAGCATTTTCTGGATTCTGGGCAGTAAGTCAGATAAATCGTATCTGATTTTTATAGGTTTCAATACTTGCAACCTACCTGTTTTACAAGGTTCTTGTTGTATCTGTCGTAGATTTTGGTCTAGGATCACACTTGATATAGCAATCCACGATATTCTTTGTGGTTTGTACAGAAGCATTGGTTGACTCCCCATTGCCGTAGGGTATTTTTTAGCATTTGTTTGTTGGTAATTTGTTTTTTGATTCACAACCATAAATATAAATTCTATTGACTGCCAAATTCTTTGCACAGTTCACCGTTGGACATACTTTCGTATATGATTAGGCTATCTTATCATCTTTTATTTATCTCCTGATACATACTAACATTCAAACCCATCTTATACTAACCACGAAACAATTCTCTCAATAATCGTCATATTCTGTTTCCAGGAAACAAATCATTATCCATTTCGTAACTTGGATGCCGGATTCACACTTTCGTATGCTGTTATTATGCTAAATACAGACCAACATAATCGGTGAGTAGCCACAGTTTTCACATAATTTGTTTTCCATCTTACATAATAGCTTTGTGCATGAGCTTTTTCTGGATATACTATGGCTTAAATGGAATATTATTTTGCTTATATTGGCCTTGCATACTGCAATATAATTTGTTGTGTGACCCAGTTCATTCTGTATAGTTTTGAAGTGGGATTCCTGCCTCACCCACAAATTTGGCATAAATAATAATTCCAACTTCAATCGAGGTTCAAAATGTCACATTCTCAGGAATCGGAACTAGAATTTCAGATTTTTATGACTGACAAACTAAAAACAACGTTCCCAAGAAACAATTTGCTCTCATAGGCACAGTTTTTGCTATCAAAAATAGATCTTTTGGAGTTCTGTGCTGGATTATGACCCAAAATGTCCTACATTAAGAGTTATAATTTTTTGAACTCGGGAGTTGTTTTTGAACTGACTCACAGCTTGAAGTCGGCTTTGTAAATTTTTCTAACTTTACAACCATGGTAGTATGCCATATTTATGATTTGTACTCAGAAATGTACGGAAACAGAATGAACCGATGAATTTGAATCAATTTCGAAGAAATTTGAAGAGTTGTAACGGAGGAGAAGACTTTGATTCTGCTATGTTGGAGGATATTTATAATACTATTAGGTGAGTTTATGGGAGGCTAGGAATATCAAAGAAATTTAGTTTCAAATTTAAACAATGGCAATAATTTTACGCATTGCAAAATACTCAAAATAGTAACAAATCATGTACCCAAACAACAATATTTATTCAAATGTGTAGATGATAAATATTGAACATAATATACCGTATTTCTCGGCGAATAAGTCTACCCGGTAAATAAGACAGGGCCCCCTTTTAATCCTGAAAAAATGGGTTTTTGCATATAACCTCCCAATAAGACAGACAGTAAAATCGGAATCTCAAATTACCATGCAATGGCTTCTGAGCGGTCGAGGATTTTGCGCATTCGTTAAAATAACCATAATGACGTTTTCTTGTAGCGTAATATTCAATTCATGACAACCAGTAGTGGGATTCAACCGGTTCGCACCGGTTCTATAGAACCGTCACGTGGAATTTTATGAGATAAGCGAAGCGGTTAGCATTACTAAAAAAACCTATTACAAAACCGGCAGAAAAATATGACTTATGTGATGGAACCGGCTGACAAATTTTGAATCCCACTACTGATGACAACTACGGGAATTCGTACTGTCTTTCGAAAAATCTGATGGGGACGTTATAGGGATGCTATTGCCCACCCCGACGAAATGCAGATTATTATAATCGCCCAATAAGACGGACTTCCCGAAATCAGGCCAAGAATTTGGGTCTAGAAAAGCGACTTATTCGCTGGGAAATCTGGTGAAAAAATATAAAGATTTTGTATCAGTTTCTGTACTTTTGAGCAAATATTTGTGGGTTCTATGAAATTCATTTTTTATGTAGTATCATTGTATTTAGTTATGGATCCTGAAGAATTATTTGAAATTCCGTACATTTCATTAACATAAATTAATTTCTAAATTATACTCTAAATATATTTTCGTTCTCAGACATGATGAAATAGTCTTGCCAGATGAGCAGACCGGCCCAGTCCGAGATCGATGGTTGTGGAATGTATCATTGAGACGTGGAAACACTCCTGAAGGATTATGGCTCAGTGCACCGCCTCTGATCAAGTAAGTGACTAACTCTACCTGTGAGGCAATTAACCAGTATATATATCTATGATGAACGAATTCAAAATTTGAAATCTAACCCTGCACTCTTTAAAGAGGCTTCTTTATTACTTATTCTTTTAGACCTGTGAGGGAAGAACCTACCATCTTTAAGTCTAGAATTTGGAAGAGATTGGTATAGAGTTTCGATTTCAATTTAACATTTTCAAAATGAACCTTTTAAAATGAAGCTATACCTGTTTTTGTAATAAGACTCTTACGGGTTGGAAACATTGGGACTAATGGAAAGGTTTTGAACGGCCTAGTTAGAATATTTGATACATCCTACACATGTCAGCTTTTAAATTGTTTTGAAATCTAAAGTTATCAAAGCTCTTAACTCTGTTTTTGTTACAGTGGACCTAGCACATTTGATGGTTTGCATCTGTATGATCGTGATTTGTTCTCAATGATCTGGGGACCAACTGTTGCTGCTCTGTCTTTTGTATTTGACAAGTCATTGGAAGAAATCATTGTTCAGAAATCTATATCTGGATTCCAGTGAGTATAGGATTTTTGAAGATTTGTATATTTATCTTGAGAGAGAAAAGCTTATACAACTGCTTAATCATATGACAAACCATTGCCTGTTGCTGGTTGCCAGCTCACGTTTAAACTAAACCAGACAACCACCACATTCTCATGAAACATTTTTTCAGCATCATGAATCATTAGTATATGTATCAATAAGACCTAGTATTGGCAAATCCAATACCATTACATGCTTATAACAACTTAGCAATTTTTTATATATACACAAGATTACCTGACGTGTTATGAACATAGGCCAATTTAAAATTTAAGCAATGAAAAATCCAAAGAATAGTAGAATTGTTCTTACATCATTAAAATTTGGAAAATGACAGGATAGAGAAGCCCATGGAGAACAAGGGAAATATAAAAGTTATACTTTTTTATGATACACTTCAATTTCTAAATTAATCAAGTACTGAAAAAGGTGTTATCGTGTTTGAATAACATCAGCAACAATATAATGAGCAATGATTTAGCCAAGTCATCCGAATGTCCAGATTGTGCCCAGAAAATATTTGAACAATTGTTTGAAAAATTGCTTTGATTTTTTTCATGCATAATCTCTCAATCTCTATTTTTTTTTTTATCTCAACAGCAAATGTGCTTTGATCAGTGCGCACTTTGGAATGTGTGACGTATTTGATAATCTGATCATTTCTTTATGCAAGTTCACTACTCTTACTACATTGAATGAGGTGAGCTTATCTGTTATTGTGCAATGCAGTGGTTCTTAAACTTTTTAAGCTCCTAAGAATTTGTCAAGTCTCGTTCCCCACCTCAAAAATAATCAGTAAGTGAGGCGAAAATAATATAACATATAGTAAAAATAACAACAAGCACTACAGCTCTCTGCAATCTTTAAATAATGAAGAAATGCAAAAATCCAAAAAAAGATGGTCGAGATAAAATCTGACAAATATTTTAATTTTCATTACCTTCATGTCCCCTTTAACATTTGTCTATGCCCTCTTTGTGGGCGTGCGCCACTGTTTGAGAACCGCTGGTGTAATGTAATAGACGTCTGCAAGGTCAGGATTGTGTTCTATGTTCAGTTGTTGTGTATAGTGTGATTCGAAATATTTTCCTTCATTTCAACGAGGTAGCACCATAGCTTTTTATTGTGTTTATTGATATATATATTGGCCACTTATTGGGTTATATATAGCGATCATCTATTCATTGATTCTTTTAAACTACTGACTTTGCTAATTTTGTAACTGTCCAAAGAAGCAATAACTGTCATATTCCTAAACACGTTTGTTCAAACGTGCGAGAAAATCCACTCAAGTATCATTTGTGAATTTTTTAGATAGGCATTCAATCAGGGATCCTCATAATGATTAAAATAGTCAAAATGTATTTGAAACTAGTTTTTTTTTGTATAGTTGTTGAACTTTAGAAAAATTAAAATATTCCTATCTAAAATATACTAGTTTGTGTGATATGTTGACACGTGATTTCCTAACCTAGATTGGTAATTCTATTAATTTTGGAAAACTTTCTTCTTGACTTCACCCTAATGCACTTTTTGATCGCGGTTTCTCCTTTGATAGTAGTAATTTGTTGAGCATGGATTACAATATTTTTATCCAAAATATTATTTCATAATGTTGCTAGTCGCTGATTAGCTTAGATCTCTGGCATTGTTGGAATAACATATTACTATTTTTTTGACTCTGGCTGGCTCATACATGGTTTACATAGCTAATAGCCAACTTTTTGTACTTTCCTACATAGTTTTGTGGGACCTCCTGAAGTATGCGCACCAAGATGGCGCACAACCTAAACATAGTTTGTGTATACCGGTTAGGATTCAGGTTGTGCGACATCTTGGTGTGCATACTTCTGGAGCACCGTTTTGTGTTTCAAGAATTCTGTTTCTTCCTTTTTCTAGACTCCTGAAATTGCTGCCACTGTGTTTGGTTCAAATCCGAAAGCCCAACTTGCAGCTCGTACTGCTTTCAAACTAGCTCACAGGTAAATGTGTCCGCTGATTTTAGACGGTTAATTTTGGGTAGTCTGGTTGTTAAATGCGTTAGACCAGACATGGGGCAAAGTATGTCCGCGAGCCAAATCCTACCTGTTGGGTAATTCAATCTGGCCCGCCCGATGTTGCCACAACCAAGGTAAAACCAAATTTTGATGATTCAGCTAAAAAATAGCTTAAGGGATTTGTTGAAATTCTGATTAAATTTAGTCTTGGCACAGGGCTAATTGTGTTTCACTTTTGATTTGTAACACTGTAAATATTGTTCATAAAATGTAACTTTTTTATGCCATACTTACATGGCCCGCCAGTATAAGCCTTGGCCACCTCTGTGTTAGACCTAACTATGTTGGTATTTGTAAATCAATATAAATGGTGACTTTAGTCAATGACACTAACCTCAACAACACAGCTAAAAAAACGTTGCACGTTTTTCTCTAGACATGGTGATATTCTCAGAGAAGGCTGGAAGAACATTCTAGACTTCATGCTCCCGTTATTTCGAGCAAAACTTCTCCCACCAGCCATGGTTGAGGTTGAAGACTTTGTCGATCCAACTGGAAGGATATCCTTGATCAGAGAAGAACTACCCATACAGAGGTATGTTAGTAATGCACCTTGATAGGCTTTTCCATAGAGAGAAAATTTGTTGAGGTGGCATACTGGAATTGATTTTTACGTTCTTTATTACCAGCTTTCAAAATTGCCAATCAAATATTGATTGTGATATTTTCGGAATGTGTGATGTCGCTAATAATGATATATTTGTGTGCATTATGACACAAACGGTCTATGCATTACAGTACGGTGGACACGAACTGATAACCGCCTCTCGAACCGATTACAGGACGTTATTTCCATAACGGCACAGCCTTGACAGTTATATTTACAACCTTGAAAAGTGCTTTCCTCTGTGGCACTTGAGCTTTATGTTTTTTAATGTTATTAGAAGGCAGTCTTTATTTCCTAATTCTATGTTGTTTCTTATCCACAGGTCAGATTCTTCCATCTTCAGTAGTTTTTATCAGATATGGGGAGGTGGATCAAGTGATAATTCTAACCAGAAGAATAGTACGCCAGAGGATCAGCAAGCTTTGAAGGTTGCACAGGTATGCGGACAATGTTGGTTGTTTATTCATATTTGACTGTTCACATATCACTCTCCTTTAGACATGATTATGTTGAATTCATGTTATTGGAACTTTTCTCAGAGGTGGTACGCATGACCTTACATTGATGACAGGGGTCATATTCATTAGGGGGGTTCGGACGTTGGAACCCCCATTTTGAAATGTAAAGAAATGTATTTTTCTGTATCATGAGAGCAGTTTTTTGTAGCTTAAAACACTTTTTAGACACGTTTTCCGCCCGCCGGCAGGATCCTCGCTAACTGTTACAGTCTAAATTGGCAATTATAAATTTGCGGAACTGAGCTTATCCATTTTATTCTTGTTTTATTTAGGAATGTGTAAAAGAACTTCATCTTGAACAATTGGTTACTGAAAGCAAGTTTCTGAGACTGGATTCATTACAGGTGAGATTTGATAAGAAATTATGATAAACAAGATAAGAGTTGATATGAGAGTGTGATAAGCAAAATAAGGACTGATAAGATTTTATAATAGAAAATGATGAGAATCTGGTTTTAAAATTCACTTAGTATGTCAATTACCTCTAGATTACAAGCGATTTAGTTTTAACTCTAATTACATTGTCAAGCTTGGTCATATCAGATTAGTTGAGTATTTAGAGTTCATTTTTTGCACTCTAACTAACCTATTGCCAATATTCCAGAGAAAACTCGTATTTTGTGAAATGAGAGTTTACTCTTTTATTTAATATTGTATTTCACATTGGTCAGGAACTCATCAAAGCATTAGTGATGGCATCCAGGGGACCAGACACTCATGAATCAATGGGAACAGTCTATTCTGAAGATTCCGCCATCTTTTTCCTCGAACTTCTGCTGAGAGTTGTACTACAAAACAGGTATATAAGAACATTAATTCTCCATTTTTATTAAGTGCGTTACCCAATTGCTCTAAATAGGGCCTAGACCACATTATTAAAACTGGAAGCTTCAAGTTTTGATGATCTGAAACCTCTTATGACATACTAATTTAGTAGCCAATTTATGATACCTATACATGGGATGTTAGTCTTTTGCTTTGCCACATTGTTCACAAATCCATGGATTTTCGCCCGGTTGCTAGTCCAGGTTTGGTATGAGAATAGTTAGCTAGTTTTTCTTTTAGAATTTGGTTTGAAGATCAAGAAAATCTGATTCCGTTAGCTATTAATAATGAACCATCATGTAGAGTTCAATAATTCTCTGCCACTTGTCATCTGTCACAGAATTCCAACTTATGTATCCATTCAGGGTAATCAATCAATGAGGCAACAGCAATCATGTTGCACTTTTTTTGCCAACTGTAGCAATCTTGAATAAATTTTCATCCACAAGAAAAACTAGAGTTCTTAGTGGTTCGACAGGCAAATTTCGAATTTTTGATTTTGCATTCTTGTTATTTACACATATATTTCCATCAAAGCTAGACCGTGTTCCTAACATTATATAAGAACATTAATTCTATATTTTTATTCAGGGTGCTATCCAATTGCTCTAAATAGGGCCTAGACCAGATAATTAAAACTAGAAGCTTCGAATTTGGATAATTCTCTCACATACTATTATTGTAGCCAATTTATAATACCCTACATAAGGTTAGTCCTTACCTTGCCATCTGGTTGCCACATTGTTCACAAATTCGTGGTTTTTCGCCCGGGTATTAGTGGTGAAGGTTTGGTATGAGAACCTTTCTTCTATAATCTGCTAGGAAATTCGAGGACGTTTGAATCGATATAAAACATCATGTAGTGTTCAATAATTTCTTATTCATCCATCACCCATCCAAGGTAATCAATCCATGAGGCAACAGCAATCATTGCAGCATGTTAGCCAACTGTAGCATTCTTGAATAAATTTCATTCACAAGAAGAGTTCCTAGTGGTTGGACACGCAATTTTCACATCTTTGATTTTGCATTCTTGTGATTTACACAAACGGATTCATCAAAGCTAGAGTGCTTACCTAACGTTTATCAAGATGCGTCAAATTTATAGCAACCTCAAATGTATATTCACAACATTTTTCATCTGGGAAAACACTAGTTGCCAGAAATGCAATGAGAATATAATTTAAAACCATTATCTATTTAGACTTTTAATAATCATATTCCACCATTTTTCAGGGATCGTGTTCTTTCCATCTGGCAACCAGTTCGTGATCATCTCTATACAATTGTGGTGACGTCGTCAGAGTATAACTTACTGCTTGAACGTGCTGTCGTTGGATTGATTCGACTTGCAATAAGATTGCTACACAGAGAAGATGTGGCCGACCAAGTCTTAGCCTCCTTACAGATTTTATTGATGATCAAGCCATTCATTCTACCAAAGGTTTGTATGATGAAACCATCACTGTGGTCTTTTTATTTTATGCCCTTCTCTGACTCTGCCCTATTGCCCCATTGGCTCCAAAAAACTAAATTTGACTGCAAAAACTAGGGGGAAAGAAAGCTTTCAATAATTGTCTACAATTGTCTCTCAAGAAAAGCAGAATTTGACCTCAATTATTGCCATTTCATGTCTGAAATTTTAATACCAGGAAAATCTATTTATTCTCCTGACTTAATAGAGTATAAAGTAATGTTCAGGACTACAAATGAAAACATTTTAAACTCCCAACTTCACAGTCCTGACCTAATGATTGAATGTTTTTTTTCATATTTATTGAGGGGAGGAAAGTTGTTGTACAGGTTTCTGTTCTAATGTATAACTTTAGTGTTTCTATATTCAGGTTAGCCGTCAGATCGCGTACGGACTTCATGAATTGCTCAGAACGAATGCTGCAAACATACATTCACGAGACGACTGGATGACTTGCTTCACAATGATGAAATGCGTCGGTGCTGGTGCTTTACCGCCACCTATTGTCCATCTGCCTACTGGTATGCAGATTCTCGAAATTTAGAGGTTTTAATATAGCATATGACTGTTCATCATAAAAATGCATTATTGGACACGTTTAGTGGCCATAACGATCGTTTCAAAATTTTGTTGTTATTGTTATTTGTCTCTGTCTCCATTTTAAAAAAATCGTTTTCCTTTTCGAATACTGGACCAATTGCTTTGATATTTTCAGTGGTTAAAGATAAAATTTTTCTCCAGAAGGCTATTACTTTTTTTTTCTCGCTATGACGTCATCAAAATTATTGCCACTGGGTGGCTACGTGTCCATATATTTGGGCATAGTTCTCTTGTTTATAATCATTTTCCATTTATTCTGGAGGGAAATTGAAAATGAGTCTTCAAAAAAAAACACTGCACTTGATTGATCTTACACGTCTTGTATACCTGCCTTAAAAATCAAATCGTTTCTTAGAAGTAATTCCAATAGCATACAGTAGAATAATGAATAGGACTATGTATCCATCCCTATCATGCTGTCTATATGTCAGCTCAACAGGCATGTACGAGCAAGCCATTCAAATGGCAATTGGAACCATATATCCACCACAATTCCTAACCTGCTGTCCATACACCAGCCATTGGGGTATTCGATGATCAAGCCTGCTGTCTATATAGCAGTCCAATAGCCTTCCATGGAGGAGTTCATTTAAATGGCGATTGAGAACCACATATCCTTGCCTATTTCTAACCTGCTGTCGATATGGCTACGCAATAACCCTGTATTGAGGCAGCCATTCAAATGGTGATTGTGCCCATTATGTCCATCCAAGGAGTGACGCAGCCATTCAAATGGTGATTGTGCTCATTATGTCCATCCAAGGAGTGACGCAGCCATTCAAATGGTGATTGTGCTCATTATGTCCATCCAAGGAGTGACGCAGCCATTCAAATGGTGATTGTGCCCATTATGTCCATCCCTATTTCTAATTTGCTGTCTGTATAGCATCCCAATAGCCTTCTACAGTGAACCAATCCAAATGGGGATCGGGGCCATATATTCATTCTTAAGCCTAACATAGAGGCCGTGGCTATTTGAGACAATATATTCATCGCTATTCCTAATTCACAGTCTATAAGACAGCCCAATAGCTTTCTTCAGAGTAAGTCATTCGAATGGCAATTGGAACCATATATCCATCTTTATTACAAACCTGCTGTCTATATAGCAGTACAGTAAGCACTCTACGGAGGCCATTCAAATTGCGATTGGGAACATATACCCATGTCAATTCCTAATCTACTGTCTGTATAGAATCCCAATATCCTTTTACAGGAAACCCATCTAAATGAGGATTGGAAACATATATTTATTCTTAAGCCTGAAACGCTGTCCATATAGCAGCCTAATAATAATAACCCACTACGGAGGCCATTCAATTGGGTAATTGGTTCAAAAATATACATCCCTATTTTTAGCCTGCTGATCATATGGGAACTAATTACTCTCTACGAAGGAATCCTTTATTAAAATTGCGATTGGGACCATATATTCGTTGCCGTTCCTAGCAGTCCTATATGTCAGACCAAAAGCTCAGAGTAGGCCATTCAAATGGCAATGGGGACTGTATATCCATCTATATTCCTGAACTTCTGGCTATATAATAGTCTACAGCCATTCAATTGTTGATTGGGAGTTTTGGACCATAAATATAGGGAATTGTTCTCCATGAATACTCTCTGCTTTTTCCCAGGAGCTGAAGAATTAGAAGCAGCATCTGAGCAAAACCAGCAAGCTCAAGCTGAAGGTTCCTCAGCCACAGCTCAATCAGGAGAATATGAAGAGGCAACGCAGGTTCTTGAGACGCATACAAGTATGTTCTTTAGGAAGTATTTGCTCCCTAAAGTCACAAAAACCTACCAGAGATTTGCTGAAACTCTTCTATAAATGTCACAAACTGTCAATCCTATTACTCTTAAGCATATCCAGAATCAGAAATAAATGATATTTTGTATAAAAAAATTATGATTTCTCAAAAAATTTGAATGTTTCATTCATTCAAAAAATGTGTCATGTTGCGCATTTGATACCATATCATTAAATACAAATAGAAACATTTTACTTAGATTGGCTATGTCAAATTAAATACCATCTCCTATACATTATTAGTATCTCCAAAACTTTCTGTGTGACTTGTTCAGGGCAGCACTTTTACACTTCTAAGTAACTGCTTTCACGAACCCTTGTTTTAACACCTCTCACAAAGTCTTTACAGGGGTTCTAGACTTCTAGGATATTGTGCACTTTCTTCTTGTTTATTTTCTATTGCGAATCTGTATGTGTCGGTTGCCACAAAGATGCTTGATAATATTAGAAAGATAAATATGAATAACATAATCTCTTTTCACGAAATAGCAAGCATATTTGTTCTATTTGTAGTATATTATTGGTACTTGCTATTTCGGGGAAGCGATTTTGTTATTCTCAAAGTCTTTATAGTATTTTCATCTCAATTGCAATTGTCATCTCAAGTTAACTGCTTATGCAGGCCTTGTTCAGAGCTCACGAATGGAAACACTCATAAAGATCCTCTATATACACAGGGGCCCAATCAGACACCGAAGTTACAAGTGATGATCGTGGCAGCCAACTCTCTGACAGAGGATACACGTCTGATAGTGAGTTGTACGATCAGTCACAACAACAACAGCAAAAACAACAAGAACATTTATCACCGTTATCGGAAACAGCATCGCAAGCATCTGACGAGGGTTGGGTTCGTTTGAATAGATCAGATGGAGAATTGGAGGTGAGGATATTGAAGTTTTCTTGATTCCTCGTTTTTTTTTAATTCTAGAGCAGGGGTCACCAAACTACGGCCCGCGAGCCAGATCCAGCAATAACACGAAAAAATGACAAATTTTTTTTCCAAGGAATGTTTTCCGAGCATCGAATTCCTTGTTTATTTCGTAACATTGACCAATCAGCAAGATGCAAAAAGTCACGTAACATTAGGTCTTTTCGCATCCACTCAGTTTGAGTCATACCTGGCCCTCGGTAAAAAAAGTTTGGTGATCCCTGTTCTATAACACTGGTTCCCAACTTTTTCGGCCTTCTGCCCTGTTTATCCTTTCGGGAAATGGATTGATATTATTGATGTGCACCTTGTGGTGTTCACTTAGGGATCCATTGGATTATATTTTCCAAAATTTGAGAAATAGTAATTGGAATTGTAGATCCTACTGTGCAGGCAAACACCTTACCTTGGGAAAGTTTGTCTGTTTAGACATGTGAAACATAGACAAAATAAACAATTTTGATATTTGAACTGAAATGACTGATTTTTTTGTTTCATATTCAAAGGATGAAGACAAGGTAACAAGTAGTGGTTTTAGTGGTGTAGAGAAGGCTTTGATATTTAAATCAAAATCTTTTTAATAACATAGTTCCGTGCTGTGGAGTTTGAAAAACTGTTTCATTCAAATTTGTGTTCTAGCTATTTAAAAAAATGGCTGACTCTCATCTCACATTTTATATGGCTTTGATTCTTGAATAGTTTTTTCAACTATTTAACAAAATTTATCATCAAAAGTTTTCACTCTCTGATACTGTATTTGTCCCGTGAAATATAGCCGTCAGCACAATCATTATTTATGTGCATAAATGTCCATAAATCATCATCAAGTTAATGAGTAGCTAACTATTCCTATACTCGACATGGACTGGTAACCAGACAGCAGGCTGTTGTCTTCCTTAATATTCTGATTATCGTCTCTCCTCTCCCCATGATAAATAATAAAATCATTTCCAAATGTTCCCCCAAAATTACGGGTACTGCTCCGATTTTATGTGACTTATACAGAATTATGATCAAGTATAAAATTTTCATTTTTGCTCATGGAATTGTAGTCGATGGCTAAGAAAGGTTTTGTACGCTTGGTAAGTCAATGCCTGTGCAAAATATAGTAGAAAGCATGATTCTTGCAATCTTAAGCATGATGGGTATTAAATTAAAAAATCACAAGTTGAATGATGGAACATAGGAATATTGCACTTTTAATTGAAAGTAGGGCTAGGAATAATTTTCCAATACATGTTAACACCATTCCGACAATCTGGTAAGGATACAATTTATGAGACTCATTCACTGGCATTCAAGTTCATGCATCTGACACAAATAACTGGCAAACTAATCCCATATCCGACATGGAGCGGTGACTAAATGACAGGTTGTGGTACACATATTTAAGTGTCTTATTGAGTTTCTTATCCCTTTGGTTAAACATGAAAATCTCATTCATTCTAAGGCTGGATCCCCGAAAAATATTTTTTCTTTTTCAAAGACCCTAATATAAAGTTGAGAATTGAGTTGCCTTTTTTCTGGTTTAAAATTCAAATTTTGACTTCCTCCACCATTAAGTCCATGCATCTGAAAACAAGTAACTGACTAACTAATCCCATACCCGACATGGAATGATAACTGGATGAGAGGCCGTGGCCGCCATATGATTTAGTTGTTTTATTGACTTTTCATCTCCCCGGGATAAATATGTAAATTCCTTTCTATCCTACTTGGTGCATGCTTGAATGTCAGCTAAAAGTGTGAGCCATGTCTTATTTATCACCCTAAATCGCAGGTCCCTTATATATCGCTGTGTTTTGATGGAATTGCCAAATAAAGAGAATCAGTTGTCCAAATAACATCAATATTGTAGTTTTGTTTGTGGTAAGCACCAGATAACATTATTGAAACTGCAAAATAGCGATTATGGTGTGTACCAAAATCAAAAGCTGAAGTCTTAACTGACTGTTTGTCTGGGTCCTTAGAAATATGGTTAATCTGGTGAAATACTGTATATCTTCTTGCATAATACATTCGATATACGCATAATACATTGCATATGTATATGCATTTTAGCACATAAATCACAGGAAATATTCAAACTTCATATACATATGTTACTCTATAAACTGCACCCATCAATTTATAAATATTCCCTAATTGAATGACACTGGCATGCACCGTAGATATTTTGTAGATGAATTACCTGATAACTTCAAATAATTTAAATGTAGAATTTTTTGTAGCAACATTGTAGAATTTTCTTACTTATTTCAGTAATTATTTCATTGTTTATTCTGCAATTCTGTTTTTATGTTCAATGCCAAAATTTCTACTGGATTTGATTTAAAAACATGGTGATATGATTCGCTCATATTATGTCTGTCCCAAAATAAATGAAACCTAGAAAAATTGGTAACGAACGGGTTCCATTTATTTTGGGAGACCCGTTATAAGGTCGGTGCTGCAATGATGTAGGAGCATTTTTTTTTGCCTTTGCACTGATGTATTAACTGAAAGTTTTAAATATACAGGGTTTCCATAAAGTGTCTTGGAATTTTTTTAAATTGCAAAGGGAATTTACCGATACCATTACACTGTTTTGGCCCTCACAGATGTAACAAATGAAGTAAAAAAACTTGAGAATAGTTACTGATTAAAAAACAACAAACCTGGTTAAGATATTGAAATGTTACCTCATAACTGAATTGTAATTGTAAAGGAACTTACTTTATCGACACCCTGTACTACTGAGTGATTCGAATTTTTTTATTGAATCATATTGGTCTAAAGACGTCTGATTTTAGTTGGACAAACAGTTGAGTTATTCCACACGACATTTGAATCACTTAAAATATTTGTCTCACTCTTGCTACAGCATCCTAGCAGTATATGCATATGGATCCAGGCTTAGCATATCAAAAGGATAAGTAATCTTATAGAACCCTAATCATTTTTACCTAAATATGGAAAGTTGTTCAAAGCCTTTTAAAAGAAATAAAACTAATAGAAAAAAGGTTGCAAATGATTTGTTTATATTATAATTCACATATTGATTGGTTTTTCATCCGATTTTATGTTTTATTGATGCCATGTAGTCTTATTTGTTCAAATCTCACATATCCTCGATTTATCACCACATAGAATCTCAAAATTGCAAATATAATTTGTCACATAAACGGTGCATTATCATTTTTTATTCCATTTTTGGCCGTCTATTTAAGATCAAGAAATTTAATAATATCTAGTAATTACACACCAATGAGCAATATTCTGCCAAAAAATGGTTTTCATGGTTCATTGAGCAAAATTTCATTTGATTCTGCCATTTTTTTGTAAGATATTGTTTTAATCTACAATTATTGTTTCTCTGAACTAGAGCATTTTGAACATATAAAATAAGACGATAAGAATTGGCTTCTGATTCATTTTATGGGTGTAATACTCAGTGGAGATTAAGCAGCATATTTCATCAATTTATTTAATAATAGTTATTCTCTTGTTTCACTGGAAAAACTTTGCAAAATTATGCAGTTCACGATATGAATGGAAAGCACTTTTTTATTCTATAAACAGTTCTGCATTGAAAGGCGCATTTGTTGCTATATTGTCACTTTTGTTATCCTATACAAGATTTTCAAAATTGAAACTGTTCTCAGATTTACGTATAAATTGATAACAAATGATATGTAAATCGCATTCTTGATCCCCTAATTTATTCATATCAAAAGTGATAACCCTTCTTTTTTCTAGAAATTACAAAATTCGGAAGACAAAGCCAAGCAGAGTAATAGTACAATACAGGTCATAATTTTTCTGTTGTTAATGAAATCATAGTAAATTAATTGTTGATTTAATAGGCTTTAGTAATTTATCATTGATAATTTCGCCCCAAGGCGAACAAAATTTTTCTTCAATAGCCTATGCCTAGATTTATTCTTTTTTTGGAAATTATCTGGAACAACGTAGAACAGGCTTCCCTCATGTGACAGATTTAGTCATATTCTTAGACTGCATAAGATAGAAATTCTTGTCATAAAATTCCCCACACACATCAATCGGTACTCCCGTAGTGTGTATGTCAGGTTAGGGTTAGGCCATAATCCTATTTCGATTTTCCTTATTTGAGTTTTATTATGAGTTCGGGGAATGTCTGTGTTAGGTAAATGAATATACCACCTGTCCATAAGTTTCAGTCTCTTTACACTACTTGATGTAAAGTAGGCGAACAAAATTAACCTCCATATTGGTACACATACTTCTGGAGTCCCCATCAATTTATCTTTTTAATATGGCTCAGGTTATTCCACCACCTCCAAGTCCTTCCAATCAATTCACTTTACAACTTGGAGAAGAACTTCGACAGCATGATATGCGAGCAATGGTGAAGTCATGCGAAACGCTTGCATTTTTGGTACGAGATGCTGCCCACATCACACCAGAGAATTTTGAACTTTGTGTGAGATGCATTCGAACTTTTGTTGAAGCGAGTATCAATGGAGGTATGTTATAGGTCTAAATCTGCCATAGGCGAACGACAGCGCCCAGGCCAAATCCGGCCAGTTGGGTAATTCAATCGGGCCCGTCTGATGCTGCCACAACCTACCTAAAACCTAATTTTGATGTTTTAGCTAAAAATAACTCAAGCAATTTCTTGAATTTTTTTCGTAACCCTGTAAAAGTGTGAATATTGTTTAAAAAATGTAACTTTTTACGTCATACTTACATGACCCGCCAGTACATGGGCAAAATTCCTGGTCTAGAAACTTCGCCCCCTTGTTCTAAATAAATGATTTTATTTCTTCTGTACAAGCGTCTATGTCAAGCAGTCGTACAGCTTACAGTATTAATACAGAGTGAATGTGGGAAAATGATTGAAAAATATATTCATATATATGTGTGTGTGTGTGCGTTTCGTGTGGAAAGTTGTAGCAATTCATGATCCCAACTAAAATTTGCCTTTCCGTCACTGCTTTTTTTAATATATTTGCTCTGTACTGGTTCTGAAATAGTAATTATCCAAGATTGTGACGGCTTTGATCACACTACATTGGTTATATGAGAACATTACATCTACATCATATGGTGGTTCACGTAACTGCTGGTCGGTGATGGCTTCTTACCAATAACTGGTAACCGTACATGAGGCATTGGTACGTCATATAATTAGGCCGTTTTTTTCTCCCGCAAAATATAAATCCTAAAATGCATTCTTCTTCAGCCACTGGGGCCACTCGATCTCAAACTTTTAACTCACAATTCATTTTATACAGTTAATCGGGCTCACCATGGAGTAGGTCAAGAAGTACCCCAGCAACATAAACAACAGCAAGAGAAGAAAAAGTTGAAGAAACGTAAAGATCGGGATAATAAACGATCAAACACTAGAGGGAGTAACGCTGGCATGGGACAAAGTGGAATGGGCGGAAGGTACAGCTTAACTCACTAACAAATAACAATATATTTCTCAATATAAAATTATTTTTAATTTCAATTTTACTCAAATATTTAACAGCTGTACAATATGTTTATTATAAGAATTTTTTTTCTTTTGAAACCCCGATGCGTTCCAAGCTTGAGGATATGCCAGTTAGGAATTATGTTTTTCTGTTATGCTACAAAATAAAAGCTTAGCCAGTTTGATTGATTACCTCTTATGTGCTTGGTTGGCTCTCATGGTGATTTGCTAATCACTGGCCAATTATATAGATAGACGATATATCTCATATTCCTTTCTCTGTGACATGAAAATTGTAAACATATTTCTAGATATGGTCACAGTGGTAACAGCACTCATTCTGATGATGATTCAAGTGCCGAGACTGTGCCTGGTGGATATCACACTATATCTCTGCAGGTATGTATCCAGAAATAAAGAAGAATTAGTTTTTTCATTCAGTTATTGGTAGAGAAGTTTTTATATTATATTACCAATTTAGGTATCTGTAATATTAAAATAGGATCGGTTGCACGGCCACATTTTCAATACATGTATGGAAAAAGAGAGATATGCCCACAATGCTAATATGAGAAGCTCCAAATTTTGAATTTGCTTGTATTTTGCGTTTGGTGTTTTAGCTATTTCCAGCAACTTGAGAGTTGAGTGTCCTTCATTCACTTCTGAGTGAGGCAACTTAAACATATATTCAGCTTTTGTGTTCTTACTGACTGACCCGAATTATTACAACATGGGAGAGGACCCACAGTCACTATCTTACTCTAGTTAATATTTAGTTACTAACTAACATAAGCACACATATTTCCTATCATTCTTAGCTGCTCGATTTGATGCATACACTCCACACGAGGGCAGCATCAATATACAGTTCTTGGGCCGAGGAAGAGAAACGTCGCTTGACGGAGTTGAAGACTGAATTAGATGAAACTGATGTTGCTACGGAAACCAAAGAACCTAAAATTAATGCTGAAGCCAGCACATTGTGGGATAAATGTTGGTGCCCTCTGCTTCAAGGGATTGCAAGGTATGTTGTAGTCTATAGCCGTTATTGCCGACTTTTGGTTCGAAACATAATTATTAAAATTAGTGCAAAACATAAATGTCCTGATCAGAGAAGCGGTGAGCTTGCAATGGACCACACCACAAGCAAGCATCCTGATCACTCTCTATTTTATCTAGGCTGTGTTGTGATGCAAGAAGACAAGTCCGAACTTCAGCTCTCACATATTTACAACGAGCATTGCTTGTTCATGATTTACAAACTTTAACAGGAAAGGAATGGGAATCTTGCTTCAATAAGGTTTGAAATGTTTAATTGTTAAATGCAGGCTTACTCAAGCAATGTCTTGAGCTCTCAACGAAAGGCATCTGAGTTCTGAATTAGTTTGTGATATTTTCGAGAATAAAAACACTTAAGTGGGCACCGGGTATACCACAATTTCCTCTTTGTGAATTTCCTTGTTTCATTTCAATTTCGGGTATTTTGGAAATAGTAATGAAAGAATCCATACTTTTCCACTTTGAGTTGACAAATGAAGACTGTCCAGGCAATTAAGCCATCTGAAATAACTCACAGAATTTTACATTGCGGTATTGCTACTTATACCACTGTCAGCGGATTACAGTAATGTCAAGTGGATTTTGAATGCTAAATGAGCTAACATTTGAGATATTTTCTTGCAGTATATGCTACAAGCTTTAACCCTCTCAATGGCATATAGTAATCTTGCTATCTTTTAACAAATAATTACCTCATAAAGATTGAAAACTGCAAACTCGCACTGAATAATCAGCAGTAAGCTAGTATGAGTATTTCAAACGCTTCGAACAATGTGCCAATTGTAAAGTTTTTCTTGTAGTATATCAAAAGCTTTGAGTAATATTTTCTCATCAAATTTGTTTAGGTCTTATTTCCTCTTCTCACCAAACTTCTTGAGAACATCAGTCCGGCTGATCCGGTAGGAATGGAAGAGACTAGAATGAGAGGAGCTACTCTCCTGTCTAAAGTAAGAAAGCAATCACCATGAAATTTTCAAAATCTTGTTGTTACAGTATTGTTCTTAGTATTTAAATATAACAAGAGATGTGGTGGATGTTATAAGAGTAATCAGTAATTTATTTTTCCACCAATGCTGAGGAATGAACTTACATATACGTTTACATATTCACATTCACCTTAGATCATAGGTTCTTGATTCTACACGATTACCGCCTCTCTTTTTAAAGAATGTCAACTTGTGTGGCCCCCGGCTTACTTATAAGAATACTTAGTTCTTCTTTTAATGTGTTTTCATAAGTTATTTAATACATCACATTTAATTACAAATAAGCTTACAGAGAAAGTAAAATAATTAATGCAATACAGTGGAAGAAATAAACAAATCACAAAAAATCTACTCTAATAGGGCTTTTGTTTGTGGCCCCCAGGAAACTGAACCTTAGGAGGTTCGATAATGAATGTGTTAAGTCAACCATCAGGCCATCACACCCAAATGAGACTTAGTTGTGCTATCGATTAGATTGGTAGTGAGACTACTCCACTCGTTCTGTATTGCTCACACATGATTAGATATAGATCAAGCATTCGTTAAAGACATGTTCTTGATAAATTTTTCAGGTTTTCCTTCAGCATTTGAATCCACTTTTAACTCTTCCAACTTTTACTGCTTTATGGCTGACAATCCTTGATTTCATGGATAAGTACATGCACGTTGGCAAAAGTGACCTTCTGGTAAGTAGAAAGGAATTTTATTGAAAAAATTTGCCGGAGAGCAATGATTATAAATTATGACCTCATGTCAGGAGACTAGTCCAGTTGTGTGTAGAAATAGCGAGCTATTTGATCTTTCTGGAATATCGATGATGGAGGAAGCTGCAACTGACTTCCACCCTATGATGGCAAGAGTTTTTTTGACAGACTAGCATCACTTTAATGCGACCCATATCTGGGAACTGATGTGATGTGTAATTAGGGAGGAGTATTTGGCTTCATGCCTCCCCTTTGACAGAATCCCCACAGTTTCTAACAAAAAACTGCGCAACCCCTTTGAACCATGAGAGCCAGAGATCCGAGAACAAAGATTCGCATGCGTCTCTCAAGCGAAGCCGCAAGTTGCAGATTGTTGCCATATAATCACTAATTATCCTCTACAAATGTGTCTACCCACACAAGTTTATATCTGGTATGATGACAGGTGTGCTCCTAATGTTTAGCATGGTGAAACCACACTTGGCACATCTACATAAATGATTTAACCCTAGTTTTGTTATCACTAGGTTGAATTCTTCATAAAAGTTTCTATATATGGATCAACTTCCATGTTCTGACACTATAAATTCAAGACTTTCGTAAATGTATCCTCCATTTTACAGTAAGACACACAATACTTAATGTGACGTGATGAGATTACTCAAATGATGGCTCAATGTCTGGCTCACTAGTCTATACTCTAATATAGTCGTGTTAACTTGTAGACGTTTGATTAAGATTGCTGTTTTGTTGTATTATTTAAGTTGTGCCGCTGTTCTCAATAAACGTTCATTTGTGTGCGAGTTTCTATTCTGAGCAGATAGCAATTGAGCAACGAAACACTTATTGCAATCGTTTTCTCTTTACAGTTTGAGGCAATCCCTGAATCATTGAAGAACATGTTACTTGTTATGGACACAGCCAGGATCTTTCATAACAGTGAAAGTCCTACAGATTACACCAGTCTGTGGGATGTTACCTGGGAGAGAATTGATTGCTTTTTACCAAGCTTGAAAGATGAAGTGTTTAAACCACCCTCACCAGGTTAGAATAGTATGATTGATACAGGCTCAGATTTGGGATTTTAATAAAAAATTTTCATTAATTTCAATAGAAAGGGGCATTTGGGATATTTGGCTCACTGGCCTATAGGTTAAAGAATTGGACTTTACCATGTAGGTCGAACATTTCGGGTTAAAATCCTCTACAGTCGCTGTGTTATTGCTTAGGAAGCTTCATACAGTGTGAAGACTTTAAGAATATAAATTCAGTTTTGCACGTTATTTGTGATTCCGTACAAAAATACTAGTTGTTTATCTATCAGTGGTGAACTGGGGGGGTGGGGTCTGGTAAATTTTACTTCGAGTAAAATATATCACTGGTAATCTAATGATTGATAACATATGAAATCAGTAGTGAATTGTTTTTTTTTAAAGCACCTTACTATGAACGGTTAAAAGCAAAAGATTTCCATAAATTAGAAGAAAAGAGAAAATAACATTTTGAATGTAATTGTCAGCTTAGGGTCCTTATTCGAAGTGAAGGTATATGTCAAATTCGCGTAGACAATTTTTAAGGAGGTGTAAAATGATTTAAATTAAAAAAATTTGTTAAATTCGATCTGGCCGTCTTATTTTGAATATTAACATTTCTTTATTTTGGATATTTACAGTACGTTCCTTCCATTCACATATTTTCAATGTTCATTTTGAATAAAACATACTTTCTGCTTACCGTCTGTTATTTGTAGCTTATTGTTAGCTAGTTTATTTTTGAGCTAGGTATTTTCTAATTAATATTCTTAATCAACAATTTTTTTTCTATTATTCAGAACCTCCGAAAAAGGAACTTATTGCTCCAACAGCAAATGAATTACACAGAGATGGGATTCCACCATCAGACGTTCCACATACTTACCCCTACCCAGTGCCCCCTACTGCATCCCCCCCTGTACCCTCACCCACCCCTTCATCTCCGAGCCCTGAACTAGTTCAAAACTACCCTGTCACAGGGGTGATCTCTTCTCCGGGGCCTAAAGTTACCCCACCAGCAAGTTTGAATATGATGACCCCTGCTTCACCCCCTATTAATACTCCACCTATGTACCCCACCAGCACTGTACCCAGCGATGCTAATCTTCCCCCATCCATGAGTGCACCAAAAGCCCCCATTATTATGGGGTTAGGTGGGTCCCTCGTCCCTCAACAAGGTTACCCTGGACAACAACAGCCGCTATCTGGTGTAGGCTCCCATGGCCATATTGTGAGTTACTTATATTATTTTGTGTAAAGTTTTATTTATTATTATCATTATATTGCCAGTTAAGGTAATGTCCTCCCCTGGTTTCAATCATACTATTTTTATAGGCCCAAGAGTCAGCTCAAGCCCACTATATCATTTAGCAGATTTGGATACGCTATGCTGAACTAGAAATCTCTTTGTCATCCGAAACTCAGTGTATACTATATATATCTACCTATAAATGCCCAGAGCCTGTTTTGGAGTTATACCATGAAAAATATATCTGCAATTCATATTGTCTACAATGTGATATTGAATTAAGGGATTTGGAAATGAGGAATATTCAAAATTTAGTCTGAATGAAATCTGAAGTTGATTGAAATTTTTCAGAATCATCAGGATTATAATCTGATATTTTTTGTCAAATTTGGCATTTTTGCAGGGAATTTAGTATTTGTGTGAATTTTACTTAGAAAATTCATCTCAACTTATAATTTCCGCTTATGGGTTTCAAAATTGTGTGAGCATGTGACCACTGTCGTGTAAAACTTTTCTGCCTTCCTAAGACGAGTTTCTGATAATGCTGCCCCTTATACCTAACTTCAAAAATAATTTAGGGGATAAACAAATTATGGATGTTATTATACAAGAGAGAGTAAAATGTTTGTATTGGTAATATTTAAAATCCATCACAAACTAAGCAACAAGCTCCCCCCTGCCCCCCTCCCTCTAGACGTGCCACTGCATGTCGCCTACTTTGTTAGAAAACTTAATTTTCCATGACCTAGCCAAAGTATTTCACATGTTGCTGCTCAAACCAATCAAATCTTCATTTTTACAGCTGATGAGTCCGACCCAGAACTTTATTCTGCATCCTCCAGCACCCAGTTCAACATTGTCTCTACAGAACCAAGAATTAGGGGTGATAAACCCCACATTACCCCACCCTATTTCCCAACCCCAAGGAGCTACATTACAGTACCCCACACAGGCGTCTCCACCGTTATTATTAGCATCAGGTATAACCCCTAATATACCTATAATAGCCCCCCAAGGGGATGATAGTGCCCAAGGGTATGGGGGATATAATGTACCCCGAAAAGTTATTGACCCAACTCGTCCTTTACCCCACCAAACGCCCATGAACCCCCACATTCCGGCGTCACCTCTGGGTCAGCTTCCAGTAACTTCAATTCCAGTTACGCTGCCCACTATGGATAAATCTAAAGTTCTGAAAAATCCTGAAACTTATTAATAAAGAGATGTTGTTGTATATATTTATGGTGATTATCATAGTAGCAAATTAAATTAATAATATATATAGAGCTGTGAAGTAGCAGTTTCGCATTTTTAATGATGTTGTAACTGGAGCCATGTTTTTAGACTTTCCGGAGTTGGAATTTGAAATATATTTGCATTAAAATTTTTTGGCAAGCTTCGCAAAATCGAATTTTTAAATTACTCTTGAGTACCTTCTGCTTCACGGCCTCTATTGTAGGTCGTATAAAATCACTGTTTGATTTGAATTTGTGCGGTCTTATTTATTTTTATTACCACCGAAATGTATTGGTGTCATATTTTCACCATTTAAACCTATTACCTAGTTACTCTAAACGGCAAGATGTCTTGATCAATTGCTCGTCAAATTACCCACAAACGAACCATTACTGGAATGCTTCTTCAAATAGCTGAATTGATTTAGGAAATGCATAATTGCACATAAAATATATCATTCCGAGGTCTGTACTATTTCAAAAATTTCGCATTTGATTCACAAATAGTATCTTTTAACGTATCAGAAGAGCGTGGCTCGGAGAGAAAGTGTAACGCCTTATACAGGGGTGGCCAACACGTCGATCGCGTCTGATGTTGATTAAATTTAATAACGTACCCCAAAAAATTACCTTGAACCAGTTTATGCAGTGCATATTGTGTGTTTTAAACACAGGAAGAATACAGTACGTCATACACGTACATACATTTGAGTCTGAGCGAGCTTGACATAAAAAAATCATATTTTTGTGGCGATTTTTTTTAAGAATGTGCCCACAGGCACATATTGCCCAATTGGCAGCGGTGGAATTTTTGTATGCACTTGTGCACACAGTCGCTCGCGAGATATTTTAGTCGATCGCGGCCGAAAGCAGGTTGGCCACCCCTGCCTTATGGCATAGCAAATACAAGGCTATTATGAGATGTGGATAATTATTCGCGCGTTGGATTTGGAGTACAGGAAAGCGTAGATGGTGGTGGATATATAATGCAACATGTAATATGCCTATGCGAGTAGATATGATTATAGTGCAATTTAATGTTTATTTATATTGTTGGACAATTTAATGTTGTAGAATAAATCGCTTCAGCGTGTGTTTGTGTCGTTAAATCGCGATTGATTACTTGATAATGCGTAATATATATGTCTAGATGTGTCAATGTCCTTAATATTTAATTGTCGATAAATATATTGTGGGAGTCGAACGTGTGTGTTTCTATAGGTGCCTTGCAGATGGAATGGCTTGGTGAGTTGATAGTGGGGGAAAATGTGTAATTTATTTTTTTGGATTCATTTGGAAAAAATGGATCCGTAATTAACTTGTCCGATTAACGTTATTTTATGATATATTTAAAATCAATTAGGTAAATGTTAAAAGAACTCTGAATATGCTGCATGTCAAAGTAAAAAGTTGTTAAACACTGGTTTAATGCGGTGGTCATTCTTTGCTACGACAGTCCGTTAGTGGTTTCTAGTACTTTTAATCCTTGTCTGCTGTGAACTCGAATCACGACACCGCTTGTATTGCTAGCACTTCTTATGTCACTTTTGGGCAATCCGAAGGGCTATGGCAATCGCTAATTGGTAGGTGTGTACTCCCGTAGTACGTGTGCCAGGTTAATGGTTGGGCCATAATTTTATTCTGATTTTCCTTATTTTAGTTCTAATAACGAGTTCGGGGACTGTGTGTTAACCAAATGAATATACGCCCTGAATAAAGGTTTCAGTCCCTTTATGCAAATAGACGAACAAAATTAGTTACCCTCCATATTGGTACATACACTTCAGGAGCGCCGGCGTTTTTATGTAGGATATGACATGTCGATCCTTCTGCCAGTTCTATGTAAGGAGATAATAATTTTAAGACTGCAATCTTTCCATTTCTTATCCCAATAAACTCGAATCCATCCGATCGAATCATATCGGTCATTTCACTTCCTGTAACTCGCCTCTATTTAAGGTTTATATGGATGTAAAGCAATCGACCAAAATTATATAATACGTTTAGGCACATATATCCATAGCTACTCTTTCTAACTGTCATGTATGTGAATGTTTACGCGAAGTTTTATATCAGCAATATCCAACAACACTCACAATTTAATAGCGATGTCCTATCATTCTGCCTTATACTGAAAGAAATGATCCTGTTTTTCTATACACACCAAAAATACAAACTGAAAAGTACTATTTCATGTTCAAAAATATTACAAACACAATACCTATGATATGCATTATGAAAATAAGCAAATTTATGAGTAGTCACTAGTCACGTGATATAAATCGCCTGAGCGTGTAAACTGATCTCGAGAGTTGGAGGATTCCGCAAAAAACTTCCCAAACGGTGGGTGCGCCACGAGGAAGGCGTAAACAACTTTTTGTGGTGGGCATGAAGCTTTTTAAAAATAAGAATATTTGTTAGATTTTCTCTCGCCCGCCTTACTTTGGATATTCACATTTCTTATTCAGTCAGCTAAAAACAACTGCGCTAATAAAAATAACATTTTGGTTGTTTTCAAAATTTTTCTTTAATATTTACGTTCCATCATGAATTTCCCCTCGAACACTTTGCTTCAAAACAGTTTCTCGCGCAAAGATATATCGCACAGTGGTACTTCTTTTCTTGATGTTAGGACGCACATAATTTGTAATCGGGATCTAATTTAAACAAAACAAAATCCAGTTTTTCGTCATCGCTTTTGCTCATTTTCAAGTTCTCGTCTGTGAAGACGTTCTGCGATACCTGAAAAATGAAAAAAATAAGAACTTACACTAAGCAAAGCTCTAAATACGAACACACTATAATTTGGTAAGAAAAGCTTATCATTTTTGTAGTACATAGAGTTACAATAAGTGCTCGTTTTAGAGATTGTCTTCAAAAGTCCTTACTTGTTTTGCTATCGAAAAAATCTCATTTCCCGGACGGGTAGTGCTTATATTAAAAAGACGCTTTTCCAAGAAATCTGCAAAAGTCCGAGATTCAAATGCCCTTCACTCGGGTACATATGGTCCAGTATGCTCCACAGATTTTCAATTGAGGGGATGTTTTCAAATTTAGGGGGCTGTTAAATATTTTGCTATTAGCAATGAAAAACCACTCGTAACTCACAAAAATGTGGTATATATGTATACTTGACGGACCATATGTACCGATATGCATGCGCGACTTTCTGAATATTCAAATACAGTTGCATCCAAGTTGGGCATTGAAAGTGTGACATACCTCAAAATTAGGAGAGGGGTGTGTGTTTGAAATTTTAGGGGGGGGGGGGGGGTAGGTCACCCCTTTTAGAAGGAATGTGGGGAAATCATTGATAGGACCGGTAGAGAAACATGTCTAATAGCAAAATAATTCATAAATACAGTAATTAAATAACTTGTAGCGTACTCACAAAATAAGGTGAAACCGACAGCCAGTAAGCCTAGCAAAACGTAAATCTTCATATACACGCACAATGTTGTGTTCCAGCCACAATTAATTGCAATCCCAAGGCAGACAATACTGATGTATGTTGCACCGACAACGTTTTGTCTGCCGGGAAAGTACTCCGTGTACATGACTGAAAATGATTTAATAATCGGTTATGGCAACGTTCACCGGGGAGGAATTTGAAAGCATTTGGTAAAGGATGATTTACATTTATTCCGAGGAAGAGGAAAGTTTATGAAACGGCTTAATCATATGGCGAACCACGCCTCTCGTTCGGTTACCGGTCCATGTCAAGTATGGGATTAGTTACACAGTTTCTTGTTTTGGGATCAATGGTCAGAGGTGCGGTGGTGAGCGCATTCCATAAATAATAATAAACTGTTCAAATGCACAAAAAACAGAGTTTAACTTGCACTTATCGCAAACGAATGTTTTATTGGAGATTGAATAACAAATGCAAATAGAGTTTAGCGCGTGGGAGGAAGGAATAAAGAGAATAAAACTAGGCCAAGGGGAGAATTGTTCAGAAAAAGTAGGAGGAATTGGAGATTCCATGATGATCTTTCTGTATAATACAATTATCCGTAGCTTGAAACGCTTTTAAGACTCTCAAAACTCATTAAAACACGCGTTTTCCGGCGATCCGCCGAACCCGCTTGCTGTTTCGATCTATGTTGGCAAATGGAAATTTTAGAACCCCCCCCCCCTTGAAAAATTCTGGCTACGACTCTGGTCCTCATATCCCAAAGTAACATTTTTTTGGAGAAGTTCGTGTCAAGGGTATGCTAATGCTCACCACCTGTCGCTGAATGAACGAGGATCTTACAAAATTGACGTTACCTTGGCTTCTTGTACAAAGAAATTTTAAAGAGTGAAAAATGTAAAAAAAAATCATATTTATGTATCATACATAGCAATTTTTCATAAATTGAAACACTTTTTAGACCCCAAAGTCTAAAAAATACACGTTTTCCGGCCTCCGATCTGACCCGCTTGCTTTTGCGTGGCAATTAAAAATCCCCCCCCTCTCTCTTTTGGAAATTTCCCGGCTAGCCCTCTGCTTCTTCGTGTTCCATTAATACATAAATAAAACACTTACCCATTAGCGTCGACTGCCATATTCCGTCAGATAATCCAAAAGCCACATAAGAAATATAAACAATCCAAGCTGTGTCGTGATTCGGAGTCCACAGCAAACAAAATAAGAAGTTACAAATATCTAGGACCATTGACGTTGAAAATATAACTATTCTTCCTAGATGTTTTCCTCGCTTTCCGAGTATGGCTGGTGATATAACGTGACCGACTCCATAAAGACAAGAGTATATTCCAATCTGCAAGAAATATAAATTTAGATCCGCCAATACATGAAATAATGGATAAATTACTCTAACACTGAAGAGCGTTAGTACATCGGACGACATTACCGAACAGTTCTATATTAAAGTACTTGCGCAAACGCCATGGTCAAGATTCAAGAACGGATTTTTTATCAGGCAAATGAGGCTGAAGAATAGGGGCCTCAAGCCTTTGCAATTTTGAGAACTATTATTTATTTTAAGTCGTTTTTAAATTGCGAAGGTTGGTTTAAAAATATAAGCGTTCAAAATTTTTATAAAATTGTTATTTTAATTTTCAATCCTGGCAATAAATCTTGTCTCAAGTATTTACCTTGTATTTTTGAATGAATTTGCTGAAAGTTGTCGTATTTTTTCTGTAACTCAAATTTCGAGTTATGCGCAAAATAAAAGTTCATTTATGACACCCTAATATATTTTACATATTAATGATAGGCCTATTATGACTTCCCAAACGAACTATTTATGACTTCATTCATCAATGGTTAAAAAAGAACAGAGCCCAAAACCTCGCATCGTCTAAATCTGCCTTCGATCATGATCACCACCTAGTAGACAATACCTTCGACCATGATCACCACCTAGTAGGCAATATTAGACGATAAAAAACACACTTGTTTCTAAGCGACTAACAACTTCTCCATCTTTTGTGCTTTTGCCCCGGTGGATCCATATGCGGTATGCATATGATGAAAGGATGCTGTAGCAAGCGTGAAGATAACTATCCTAAGTGATCAAGAGACTTGCTGCTCACCAACACAATTAGACTTTTGTAACGTTTCGTCTAACCGAAGTCAGACTTCCACAATAAAACGTTTATCAAACTGCCAAATAAATATATCTACGTTGATGCTGTGCTACAAAAATGTTGTGAATCACTTTGGATACAAAAACACATTTGCAAAAATGTTCTCTCACCGTTGAAAAACCGCTCACACAAGAAACGAATGATCTTGGCAGGTCTGAGAATATATATCCAACCAGTAATCCGGTATACAGAGTAATAGGAATAATGAGAAGCTGTTTTGGTATAAGTAGCTGGCGACCAACTTGTTTCAGAGTGTTGGCAACTATCCCGTTGCATACACCATCCTGTTAAATGTGGGAATAGTTTGATTAGAAAAGCTATTTGATTGGATTTTAGACTCTTTAATATGAATATAATATATATTTTGCTATAAGATATGTACGGACCGCCCCAAAATTGTAACAGGACCGCGCCACAATTTTCTGAAGTTTTTAAAGTGGATAGCTTTCACAAATGGAAAAACCTGAAAATAACGTTAAAAATTCGAAACCTGATTTTAATTTTGAGTTGATAAACAGAAACTTTTCAATTTATAAATGGACGTTTAATCTTAACTACGACTACCCTAAGTCGGATGACAGACAGTTATAAAAGTGATGCGTGAATATTTCGGAACTCAGCATTCTTACTTCAAATTTTATATACGGTAAAGCGTATGTGCCAATTTTGCTTTTTCGTCTAATGACGCTGACAGATTAAAGCAGGATTATAACGTAAGCAGATTTGTCGGTAATACCGACACCCTTGTGGGACGAAAGATTATTGATAATTTAGATTTTATGTCGATTTAATTAACAAAGCCGCTGACTTTGGCACAAAAGCACATTATGATGTCAAAGGTCGAGGGTTAAAATGCAATGAGGTGAGAAAAACCGACGTACGCAATTCCTTTATAACTGCTCAAACGCAACTAAAGCAACGGATTAACCTTCAGCGTGTATTAGCATGGTTTTATACATTATATATAGATAGTCAATCACGGATCATAGATGGATTATAATCAATCTCAGTGTTCCGTTGGCCTGGGTACTGTAGTTTCTGACTGGCAACACGCACGGTACTTATACTTATTGGAAATGACATGCTTCAGGTCTTGTAGGTTATTACTTATCGATTTTAATCGGTAAGTATGTTGATAGGTATTTGTCTGTCTGTTTGTTTGTCTGTTAGATGCACGCGATATATCACGAAAGCGAGATTGAATCTGCTCCATATTTTGCATGTGCATTCATCATATGTCGTACCAGAAGACTATTGATTTTGGATGAATTATGTCGTATAATTAGCGAGTTATTAATTAATTAGTGATGGGACACAAGGTGTCACTATGGAGTAAGAGCGCTGTTTTGGGGGATCCCCTAACTTTCGATCGATAAGTTTTCGGTCTCTGACCGATATTATCGTGTTCAACGTTAGGTCTTATCACGCTCAATTGGACTGAAGAAGCTATAAATAAACTGTTTTTCATTCGTGGTTTTTAAACCTCTAGCGGCTAGAATCTAGCTCAATACCCAAGTCTCAACTGTAAGTGGGTCACTTAAGAAAGTGATTGTCCACGTCTGGCCTAGGGCCTCTGCCTCTCGTCTTCTATATTTGTTTCTGACCATGATTAGAGTGTGATAAATAGAGTAGGAAAACCGGACCTTGAAGATTCCGTTTATTCTAAAATAGAATCACCTCGCGTCTAAGTGATTGTTTCTACAGAGACCCGTTGGAAGTGAATACGCAAAATAAAGGGCTCCAGGTAGGTCATGTTTAACGTTAGGTCTTATCACACTGATTTTGACTAAAGATAGTATACCTTTCCCGAGCCTGGTAGTTCAACTTGAAGAGATTCGTGAAGACCCAAATCATCTTCATTTTCCAATAAGGCTGTTTGCGAGTTTTCGCGATCGCGATTTCCCACAGTTGCAATCAAGATGTCTGCCTTCGAATCATTGATGCCAGACTTTTCCAGCTCAATTGTATTTGCATTCTCATCGCTTTCTTGATGATGACGAACTTTGACATTAGGAAGCGTACATGCGTGGATAATTAGAGATGATATGCACATTGTAGTAAAACACGATAGTAAAATCATAAAATTGATTCTACTATCGGGCGAATAGTTCCCAATGCTTTCATCAATGACAGTCTTTTTTTGGCAGTCGTTTGCGCCACAAAATGATAAAGTGACGTCATGATATAATGAAAAATTAGAAGAGTTGCCTGTCATCGATACGTTACTCATGACTGAAGGTGGATGTTGTTCATTGAAAACATTCAAAATCAGATAAGTGATGACACCGCCAAATATCTAGAATAAAAATAAGATATTGTAGGTCGAGATCGCGACATCATGCGAACAACGACAGAACCAAGATTTTACATTTCAAGATCGACAGCTTACAAAGCGGAGCTTTTTGGGGAAGGGGTGTTTCTGCTGGGGCAGAAAAACGTCAAATTATAGAGTCCCAACGTCACGAAGAATAATTTTAGCCGGAAAAAGTCTGCGAACTCGGATTTATTTTGTTTATTTGCTGAAATTAGATACATAAGATTGAATAAATTCTTTAGCAGATTGCCAGTGCTCATTTTTGGGGAAACAGGGTCACTTGAGAGGTAGGGTGGATTTTGAGTGGGGGTGGGGGGAAGATTTTTTTCAAAATAGTGCGTTGGGAATGTCGATGGGCCGTCGTCATCGATACTTGTTGATAAAAATTTCTTGGTATTAAGTACCCTTTTACAACACGGATTGAAAGCACTCTCATCGCCATATTTATACTGGGTCACCTAGAAGTTGCGTCCGGCGTAAAATCTCATCTTACCCCATCCAATTTTTCCCCCACGTACGTTTAAAATACGTCCAAGGTTATGCCAACAAATTACAAATTGAATACTTGTAAAATAGGACATAAAAACTGCAGGTGGAAAAGTAAAAAGCAGCTGTTCAAACTCTTTGGAGAATTGCCCTGTAATGTCTTTTATGGGCCAAGACGGACACACTGGTTAACATGCAAGAAAATGCTCTGTTTACACAAAAATGTTAAGAGACCTGATCCTAAGGTATCTAGGCGTTGACCGAAATCTCATGAGACACCATCGAGTTTATTTTGATATATGTCCGTCTTGACCACAAAATGGTCAACTTACCCCGATATTTTTTTAGCTAATAATCGCGCGTAAATTCTGATTCGTTGCTATGGCAACGATGTGCAAATGTGGCAAGATAGCCGGATGGTGGGTGCATAAATCACACGTAGAACGAACGCAGCTGCGGCATTTTGTAAAGGGTTATTCAAAATATTTTATTAGTGGGTCCGACTTCCCCCGACCTAATCCGGCCCGTTGGGTAATTCAATCTGGCCCGTCTGAATCTGCCACAACCAAACTGAAACCAAATTTTTATGCTTTTAGCTAAAAAATAGCTCAAAGAATTTATTGAGATTGCGTTTAAATTTTGTTTTGGCACGAGGCTTGTTGTTGTCCACCTCTACTTTGTAACATTGTGAATATTGTTCATAAAATGTAACTTTTTAGGTCACACTTACATGGCCCGCCAGACTAGGTGGGCAAAATTTTTGGCCCCCGGTTCAAAACCCTCGCCCATCTCTGCTCTGAACTTATCTAAGTTTACAATTATTTGTTGTTTGTTATTAATATAAATAGGCAATTCTAGTATAAGTCGAAATGTACCAGTACGAAATATACATTCTCAATAGAAAGCCTTGTCACTAGGGTTCTTAGAAATTACTGGGAATACTTACATGATGCAAATGGTGAATAACGAAGTAGTATCCCGAGAGTCTACTAACAAAAAATTCAACTGTTTTTGAAGGGTGATTCTTTATTTTGTGATACTCAGCACCAAAGTGTGCGTTGAAGATGCTTATGCAGGTCCAAATAGTCGACTCTGCTATTCCAATCAATATGGCAGTAGGTATCAGAGTGTAGTATCCTGCGCATTTGAAAATTATGTGTTATTGCTTCCGGGGGTAAAATTTTACGGAGAGAAGTTAAGGTGCGGTGAGATTTGACAATACTATATCGGAAAAAAATCATCAAACAAAACATAAAATGCGAGCATCGTCACATGTTTTAAGGCACCCATCTCTGAAGCGAAAGGGGTCACGGCGTCCATAGCGAACCCAAGTGAACAAACAACGTCCAAAATATGACCTAATATTCTTCATACTTCGTTTCGTCGAATAGTTTCTGTACTTATACGGCTTACCATATATATGAACAGAATAAAACGGGACATTGCGCAAACCTTGATTTGATTTCAGGGCTTAGTGAAGTGAGTCGCAAATCAGTGATACATGCCTCCGGTGAATAAAACAATTACAAATAGGTAAAAATATATTTATGGCTGCCAGATTGGGAAATTTAAATCCACCGGGCGAATAGCTTGTCACAATCGGGTCCGTAAGCTCACCAATACAATATCGTGGAGTTTGTGAACCAACCGAAATTAATTTTTTTTTCAATCGAATTATTTTTAAACAAATTTAGTGGAACTAACAGAGTGTTGATAACCTTGCAGTCAAAATTTGTTTCGCTAGTGACCGACTTTCGTCGGTCAGCACAGTTGAATTGGAAGTAGACTTACTTGGATAAAAGTTGGCAAGATCATATGTTATGTGAAACATAGTGCCCATTAAGATACACTTTTTCGCTCCGAATCTTCTGATTAACATAGGAGTCAATGAAAATCCGGATACAACTGCAGTAACGTACGCACAGGCGATACTGGCCACCCCTGGAAAAATAAAGCAAGTCATTGCGACGCGACACGTGAATGTTATTAAAAAAAATAAAAATAAAGTTAATGGAAATGAATCTTGTTTTCAACGGGTGTTTGGTGCTGCTTCACGATAACCCCTCATACATTCAGAAGCAGCAATGTTCCGCATAAATAATCAAATTTTCTACTCAATGGCCGGGATGGCAGATATGTTGGACTGTTAGAGCTGAATAGACCATTTACAACGTACACAGGAATTAGAATTATGTATTTTAAAACGAGTTACTTTTCTCAACTGGCTGAGCAGTGTACTAAATCCCAAAATTGATACAATATCACCAGGCATAAGCAAAAAATGTCATGTTCACAGTTTCTCATTACAAATTCAGGACACAAAATAACAGCTGTAACACGATTGAAGTTTTTTCCAAAGTTCATCACGCAGACAAACACACACTATATATATATACACTGGTTAAAAAGGGGTAATCAGTATGCTCTCCAGCTTATCATTATGGGTTACCGGTAGATTCGACACTTTTTATAGTATTTTAATACAATTATATTTTCAAGTTAGGAAGTGTTTTGTCACACCTTTAAATTGGAGGAGTGTTTTAAATGGTGACCGTACATTTGAACCCACGTACATTTGAACCCATGCGTATATCCACGGGTTCAATCTATATGCGGGTGCTAAAACCCATGGGTTAGGGTTAGTATGGGCTTAACTATCCGTGAAACAAAAACAATTCCATAGGTGCAATAGCATACAGGTGCAATTGTCATGGGTTCAAATGTACGTGGGTTCAAATGTAATGCAACCGTTTTAAATATTAGGGAGGGTGGTTGGAATGGAAGGTTTGACTCCAAAGCGGGACGCCTACAAAGACACGAACCCTTAGCTGTGATCCTGTAACTTTACAGTTTCAGATTTTACTACATAGGCTCACATTTAAATCTATCCCGGCTGTCTTCTTTGACCATATTGTAATCGAGAGTTCATGCGCATATTTTCTATCTAAATATCGGGTTCAGTTCGAAAAATAGAAAGAAATAGACGCTAACGATATAATTGATCCGAATTTAGATATATTTATGTACAGCAAAAGGAATAAAGAATAATGAAAGTCTGCCGTTTTCAAGCATTGAGAATTTACTTATTCGCCCTAGCGTCCTTTTCTGTAGATACCACCTTTAAAAAGACGTTGTTCAATGTTACATTGACGTAAACGTCCTAACAGGACCAATTAGGATTGATTTTACATGTGATACATTTGCTAGCAATGTTAGCGGGAACGAACAAAATAACGCATTCACCTTCAGTAAGTGGGCTAGCGTTGCGCTACACAGCAACAACAGTAACGAGAACATGTTCGTGTATTATGCTGGATGGCTGAACGCCGAAGCGGGACTTTTGGCTGACTTTTCTAGAGGGCGGGACAAGACGCTAAAAAGCGGGACTGTCCCGCCTAAAGCGGGACGTATGGTAAGCCTATATATACATAAGTTCAACATGGATAGAAAATGAATCTGGAATGTCTTGTTTTATTCCAATTATTAGTAATTAATTAATTATCATTTAATTAATTTCACATTCGGGACAAATTTTACTAAAATAATAACGTACAAGTATGACCCTAATTGACACCCTTATCGTGCCAAGGGTAGAGTACTCTAATTTTATATTACTGCCCCGTCGCTTAATCTGTGCAAATATATAAACACAATAAATCTCTCGAGAATAACATATTTATTTACACTTACCCAACCCTGCTTCAATATTTACACTAGACTGCAAAGTCATCATAGTGCTAAAGGACGAAAAGATGAGAAATATCCCCAAACCATAGCAGCAGAAGTCACGTCGAAATTTTGCAAATACTTTGTCACTACTACGAGCGACTTCCATCGATTTCTCTCCATCTGATGACATATTACATATGCTATATACCTAAATGTATGCTAAGAAACTATCAATACAACAAAGCGAGCTATAGATTCAGTGTTATTTAACAGTCAGTAGAATGTGAAGTAGAGATGGAGGTTTAGGACACCAGTGGCGCAGCCACAAATTTTCAGGGGAAGGGGGAGATATTTAATTGCCAGTAGAAGACCGTAGACCAGACATGGGCCAAATCCGGTCTGTTGGGTAATCTGGCCCGTCTGATGCTGCCACAACCAAACTGAAACCAAACTTTGATGTTTTATCTAAAATTGATCAAGGAAATTGTTGAGATTGCGGTTGAAATTAGTTTCGGCATGAGGCTTATTGTTTTCCACATTTGCTTTGTAACTATGTAAATATTGTTCAAAAAATGTAATTTTTACGTCACACTTACATAGCCCTACAGAATATGTGGGCAAAATTTTTGGCCCCTGGTTTAAGCACATGCTTGCCGTAGACAGTAACAGCTAGTGGGAAATGTGAGTTTTCAAGTCTTGGGGATCTGAAAAGCTATGCTATGAAAAATTGCTATGTTTGATGCAGAATATTTTTTTAACAATTCAAAAACCGCGTGAGATTCCGACCCTCAACACTTCAGACCCCGCCCCAGTGGGACATTCGTACTTCCGTATCCACCATTGGTAGTGTTTATCGGATGCGCACTTTTCTAATAGAATGACTCGGCGGTCGTGCTAAACGTTGGACAACGCTTTCCATCTAACCTCTAAATACCCCACGCGAGTTCGGGATTGCTGAACTCTTCGCGTAACCGCTGACCGGCTTCATACACCATAAAGTTCATGAATCTTAAATAAATAACCAAACAACTATCCCCACACCACCATGAACTGATAACCAGACGAGAGGCCATAGCTGGCCACATGGTTAAGCCGTCTCGTTGACTTTCCCCTTACCTGGGATAAAAATCCCGTCCTAATAAAAGTTGAAACTTTTACCGCACTCGACGACAGCATTCCTGTGAATGCTCTGACATAATTTATTTTGATTCACAAATCAGCAAAAGCCGTCAGAGATACGTGGACAGATAGATAGGAGAAAATAACAAAACCTATAAAATAAGGTAGATATGGAAGCGTTTTTCCGCACAGCAGTTCGCTCATTTTAGCCCTAATTGATACTTTTTTTTCTAAATGCATACTCAACCTATATAAGAATCTATATATAAGAAATATAGGAATCTCTGGTGTTTTCTGCTGCGTCTAATCTTAACCTCCTTGACCAATTTTATAGGAGTTTATCAAATAATGCCGGCCTAAAATTGACTGTTTTTATATTGAAGAGGCGCTTTTGTATTTATTCCACTCAGACTTTAAATCATTGCGTGTAGGTTAGTTCAAAGAATAGATTACGAGTTCACGTCTAAACCTAATAATTAAAATTTTGACGAGGATCTCTCACGACTAAATTTCTTATTGTTGCATAAAGGTCTTTGACAAAGACAAGCTTTATTAAATATAGGTTGATGTAGATTTCAAGCGAAACACTCAATTTGCCTCTAAATCCCATTTTGAGCATAACGCTTCCAATAATCTTTCAGCGCATATTGTACACATGCGAGTATTGCGATTAGTAGATAAATTTCAGTGACAAGCGGTTACAGTAGATAGTTGGGAACAAAGATCAACTTATAAATGCCGAAATAGTTATACAAATGCTCAAGGCGACATAAACAACATAATATATACTAACTTTTCTGGGACCTCCAGAAGTATGCGCACCAAGATGGCGCACAACCTGAACATAGAATGTATGTGTACCGGTTATGATTCAGGTTGTGCGACATCTTGGTGCGCATCTTCTGGAGGTCCCAAAAAAGTTCTTGTATATACATAAAAGTTTTACAGAGCCCAGAGTCTTCTGTACAACAGAATAGTATTATTAGGTTATTCATTCTCACTAAAATGCGTGTATAACTTGCAGCAAATCTTCTGACAACACAAAGAACATTTTCAAAATAATACTCATTCCGTTTCTAAGTCAACTTTTCCATACTCTAATCGAATTACAAGCTCTATCTATACTTACAAACCTAACTTAATTTAATTACAACTCCCGGGGGTCCCGCTATGCGGTCGAGCGTCCTTTCATATTCAGTCCATTCAACTAATACCCAGTAATTTCCACGAAACCATCTTTACGTTAATGATAACACAATGATAAGCTGCATATGCAAACATACTATTAAAAACATTCAGAAAATGAACATACATGTCCATAACACGGTATCCGTTACAGTTTTTTTCGCTGACCGAGCTTGGTGAAAAGCGTATGCCGTTGAATCTAAGATAATAGAATAGAAATACCATGTTATTCGAGTAATTTTAATGACTATTAAACCAATAGCGTAATAAGATTAACTGTTTCCACAGCTGTGTTGGACATATAGGTCACATTAAGTATTGCGCAATCGACTTGCTCTTTCGCAGGGTGATTAGGAACGTTGCCGCATTATTGGACACGGAATGGAATTGCGGATCGTTTTGTTATTATGTTGATGTGTTATTGTAGAGCTAAGATCTGAAGCCCGAACCGAAATTCGGGCTTGAAATGTCAATCATTACGTTTTGGTGGGGTCGGGCCGGGCTTCTCTATCGCTGACTTTTTTTTTAAATAAATATATGTTTATAAAAATATATACTAAAACTATGTGTGGATAGTCATCAACGCGACACATACTGTATTAAACTCTTGCAATGACAATTCAAAAAACTCCTAAAAAAATATTAAAATTCCGGTTTGCGTCAGATTTCAGCCTGCAAATCCAGTTAACTAGTCGAGCTGGGTCGGGTTTAATACCCACGGGCTTGGGTCGGGCTGGAATTTTTGGGCCCGAACTTACTTCTAGCCTGTTGGTATTGTTACCGTATGAAAAAAATCGCTCTTCTCATTCACAAATGAACCAATTGATTCGAAATTTCGGTGTCCAAAGATTGTATTGTACACTTTTATTTAATTCACAACTTTCTGTGGGCTCTATGGGATGACATCCTCAAAGTTGAAAATTGCGCTCCTTGTGGCGGTTCCTTAGTGATCTTGTTGTCAGGCGAAGACGTGAACACTTTGGTACCACACCGGTGGTCTACCGCAACCGACTGTACCGTACTACTTTGTGAACATATATATATTTACATTCTGCAATCTACATTTCTACCCTAACTGGATAATTACTAATATTCTTATTTTGAGCATAGGCGGGGTGTTTTTTTTCGCGGGGGCTCTGTACAAAAGATGCGCTTAGTAAGGTTAAGTAGACCATTGGCCAACCTTTGCAGTTTCTCCTAACGCTGTACTAACCTTACACCTATACTAACTAGCCTGACGTAAAGAGAATCAACAGGTCAGATCAGTGGTTTTCTAGCTGTAATCCCCTGGCGACGAAGCTTGTATTCAGTGGCGTATCAAACTTTTCTGCTGCCCACGTCGAGTTTCTGCCGCTCAGATAGAGTTTCTAATAACCATTCCCCTTAAACGTAACTTCAAAAATATTCGAGGGGGAAACAAATTATAGATGTTGTTGGCTCGACGGTGTGGCGCATCGTGCTAAGCGTTAGGAATACGCTCGCCACCGCATCTCTGATTACCCTTCGTGGGTTCGCTGGTTCGAATCCCATGCGGGATGATCATGTGCGAGAGGATTGCTGGGCTCCCCGCCGCCGTAGGGTTGGTTCACGTAACCGTGGTCTAAATACAACAAATGATAAATATATCATGCTGCCCGGGGCGGCTGCCCCTATGGCCCTCCTAGGCACGCCACTGCTTGTATTTCACAGTGATTCCTGAGTATTTGCTAAACTGTTTTCTCGTATTCGTATGCACTCGGCCGTGAAGGGATTGTCAGTTTGCACAAAGCGAGAAACTCACCGGGTTGAAATGCTATAGTCATGCGACCTAATTGCAGCGTATAACGTTGTATGTTAATTTAACCCTTTGCTTCCTTACCTTGCAATAATCAGCCATAACGAACCACGCCGTCAAAATTAGAAAAGGGTGAAACATCCTCACAAATGAAGCGGCCTCGTATTGGTGCGGAAATTTTTCTGTTGGTTTTTAAAATTTCAATTTACAGCACAATTCCCTATTCGTCCCATATTCCGCTGTTTTTATGCAATCAATTATTAACTTGAAAGTTGGTATTTCAGAGGGCATATTAGAATTTAGGAAACGTATTACCCTATCATCACTACTTATGTAACACTTGAAAAGTCGGAATGTAACATCTGGGGTTAGTGTGCCCCAAATTGGAAACCCCGTCTGTAGTCGGTTTTGTAAGATCGCTTCGAATTATCAATTAGGTATTTGTCACACTCACCAAGGGTCAATGAGCGCTTTTGACGGAGTTTGTTTTCGCAAACAATTGTTTGCATATCGTGGATTAACTTTCGTGCAGAGGTAAACTAAACTGTTTATTAATACAAGCAACTCTTGGTGGCATTGTTTGACCACCGATATTCTTTGTGGTTCCATTACATTTGAACTCACGACAATTGCACTTGCTTACTATTGCACCTATAATTTTTTTGTTTTGTTTTACGGGATATTTGAACCCATCTAACCCTAACCCTGGATTTTAGCACCCGCATATTAGATTGAACCCGCGGATATACATGGTGTCAAATGTACGTCACCATTCTTTGTCAATGGGTAGATGAGTGTGAGTAGCCAGCCATTCCCAGGGTAAAGATCCGAAATTCCAAGAAAAGTTCATTTTGTATCGAACCAGCCAACAACAGGTTCCACGCTTTCAGAAAACCATTCCGAACTTATGCACCGCACCGTAAGAGTTTATCTAAATTGTAAACTATACATCGTATACACTCAAGCAGGGGTGTGCAAACTGCGGCCCGCGGGCCAAAAGCGGCCCACAAAGACCTATTTTGTGTGGCCCGCGGAAAAGTGCAACTTTTGGGTGGTGTGACCGCAAAACGAATTTCTAGTTTAATTATCTGGTATGTGCGAGCAAATTCAATCCTTGTGAGTCACAAAGCATATGTCAGTGCCCGAGTGACACTGTCATATTAGCAAAACTAGCTAG